AGGGGTTATACTAATATCAGATAAAACATACTTCAAGACAATAATTGTTATAGACAATAAAAGGATATTTTATAATGATAAAAGTCAATTCATCAAGAAGATATAAAAATTATAAATATGAGTGCACCTAACAACAAAGTTTCAAAATACACAAAGCAAAAACTGACAGAATTGAAGGGAGAAATAGACAATTAAAGAATAATACCCCACTTTCCACAACAGATGGAACAAGTAGGTAGAAGATCAGTAAGGAAATAGTAGACATGAACAACACCATAAACCCACTAGATCTAACAGACATCTATAAAACACTCCACCCAACAACAGCAGAATACACATTCTTCTCAAGCGTACATGCAGTGTACATAGTTCTCAGCGTACATAGACCGTATGTTTTACCATAAACAAGTCTCAATAAATTTAAAAGGATTGATATCATACAAAGTATGTTTTCTGACCATAATAGAATGAAATTGGAAATCAATAACAGAAGTAAAGTTTGGAAACTCACAAATAGGTAGAAATTAAACAACATACTCCTAAATAACAAATGGGTCAAAGAAGTCATAAGAGAAATTAGAAATACTTTGAGATGAATGAATACAAAAATATGACATACCAAAACTTAGGGAATGAGGCAAAATCAGTGCTTAGAGGGAAAATTTATAGCTGTAAACACATATTAAAAAAGAAGAAAGATGTCAAATTAATAACCTAACCTTACACCTGAAAAAACTAGAAACAGAAGAGCCAACTAAACCCAAGGCAAACTGAAGGAAATAATAAAGATTAGAGAAGAAATGAACAAAATAGAGAACAGAAAAAAAGTCAACAAAACCAAGAGTTGGTTCTTTGAGAAGACCAACAAAATTGACAGGTGGGTATTATTACTGACCTTAGAGAAATAAAAAGGACTATAAGAGAATACTATGAACAACTGTATGCCAAGAAATTATCTAAGATGAAATGGACAACTTTGTAGAAAGACATAACTACTGAAACTGACTCAAGAAGAAATAGAAAATCTGAATAGAATTATAACAAGTAAAGAAGTATAATTAGTAATCAAAAAAACTTCCTACAAAGAGAACCCCAGGCCCAGAGGGCTCCACTGGTGAATTCTACCAAACATTGAAAGAATTTTAAAACCAATCCTTCACAAACTCTTCCAAAAAACAGAAGAGGAAGGAATACTTCCCAACTCATTCTATGAGACCAGTTTTACCTTCATGCAAAAACCAGACAAAGAGATCACAAGAAAACTACAGACCAACATCCCTTATGAATGTAGAAGCAAAAATCCTCAACAAAATACTAGCAAATAGAACCCAGCAACAAATAGAAAGGATTATACATCATGACAAAGTGGGATTTATCCCAGGAATGCAAGGTTGGTTTCACATATGAAAATCAATATGATACACTATATTAATAGAAAAAAGGATCAAAACCACATGATCATTTTAATAGATGACAGGAAAAGCATTTGACAAAATCCAACATCCTATCATGATAAAAATACTCAGCAAACTAGGAATAGCAGGGAATTTCGTCAACTGATAAAGGGCATCTACAAAAAACTCACAGCTAACATCATACTTAAAGGTAAAAAACTGAAAGCTTTTCCCTAGGATTGAGAACAAGATAAGAATGTCCACTCTTGTCACTTACTTTTTTTTTTTTTTGAGGAAGATTAGCCCTGAGCTAATATCTGTTGCCAATCCTCCTCTTTTTTGCTGAGGAATATTGGCCCTGGGCCAATATCCGTGCCCATCTTCCTTTACTTTATATGGGACGCCGCCACAGCATGGCTTTGACAAGCGGTGTGTAGGTCTGCACCTGGGATCCGAACCTGTGAACCCTGGGCTGCTGAAGTAGAGCATGCAAACTTAACCACTGTGCCACTGGGCTTGCCCCCACTCTTGCCACTTTTATTCAACATTGTACTGGAGGTTCTAGCAGTGCAATTAGGCAAGAAAAATAAATAAAAGGCATCCAGATTAGAAAGGAAGAAGTAAAATTATCTCTATTTGCAGATAGCATGATCTTATATATAGAAAATCCTAAGGAATCCACAAAAAAAACTTAGAGCTAATAAATTAGTTCAGCAAAGTTTCAGGATACAAAATCAATATATAAAAATCAGTTTTATTTCTATACACGAGCAATGAACAATCCAAAAACGAAATTAAAAAAAAACAATTCTATTCACAATAGTACCAAAAATAATAAAATATTTAAGCATAAATTTAACAAAGGAAGTGCAAGACTTGTACATTGAAAACTATAAAACATCACTGAAAGAAACTAAAGAAGACCTAAATATATGGAAAAGATACACCACTTTCATGACCAGAAAACTTAATACTGTTAAGATAGCAGTTCTCCCCAAATTGATTTACAGATTCAATGCAATCCCTATCAAAATCAAAGCTGTCCTTTTCGTAGAAATTGACAAGCTGATCCTAAAATTCATATGGAAATGCAAGGGACACAGAACAGCAAAACAAATCTTGAAAAAGAATAATAAAGTTGGAGGACTCACACTTCCTGATTTTAATACCTCTTACAAAGCTACAATAATCAAGACTGTGTGTACTGGCATAAGGATAGACATATGGTCCAAAGGAATAGAATTGAGAGTTCAGAAATAAACCCATACATCTAGTAAAACCATACATCAACAAGAGTGTCAAGTCATTTAAATGGGAGAAAGAATAGTCTTTTTAACAAATGGTGCTGAGACAACTGGATATCCACATGCAAAAGAATGAATTTGGAAACCCACCTCACACTACATGCAAAAATTAACTCAAAATGAATCAAAGGCCTAGATGTAAGAGCCAAAATTATAAAACTTTTAGAAAAAAACAGAGGAGTAAATCTTTGTGATATCAGATTAGGTCAATCGTTTCTAATTTTGATTCCATTTATATGAAACATCCAGAATAGGCAAATCTATAGAGACAGAAATAGATTAGCAGTTACTAGGGGTTGGGAGAAGGGGAGTGGGGAGTGCCTGCTAATTGGTACAGAGCTCCTTTTGGGGTGATAAAAACACTCTTGAATTAGGGGTGATGGTTGCACAACTTGTTGGTATACTAAAAGCCACTGAATTGTACACCTTAAAAGGGTGAATTTTATCTCAATTAAAAAAATTGCCAAAAGAGAAATAATCACCAAAAAAAAAAAAAAAAAGGAAGGAGCAACAAAGTATGTCTAGTTAGTACCATTCGTGGGAAAGAAGAGTGCAGTAAATATATACGATTGCTTGCATGTGCATGGAATACTGTAATGATACACAAGGAAGTGGTAACACAGATCAGCTCTGGGGAGGAGAACTTGTGGCTGGAGGACAGGAAGGGGAAAGACTTTCAATGTTATATACTTTTACTCCTTTTGAACTTTGTACCACATAAATGTATTATCTATTTTTTTGTGTGAGGAAGACTGGCCCTAAGCTAACATTTGTTGCCAATGTTCCTCTTTTTGCTTGAAGAAGATTGTCCCTGAGCTAACATCTGTGCCAATCTTCCTCTATTTTTTGTATATGGGATGCCACCACAGCATGGCTTGATGAGTGGTGTGTAGGTCTGCGCCTGGGATCTGAACCCACGGACCCTGGGCCACCAAAGCAGAGCATGTAAACTTAACCACTGCGCCACCGAGCTGGCCCCTGTATTACCTGTTTTTAAATATAAAAATTAAATTGATAATAATAGCTGACATTTACTGAGTGCTTACTGTGTACCAGGTACTGTTCTAAGTGCTTTATATTTATTTAATCTTTACGACGACGTTCTTTTGTTCTATTTATATCATTTACAGAAAAGGAAACTGAAGCATAAAGAAGATAAATTATTTGCCCAAAGGAACACAGTTCATAAGCAGCAGAGTTGGAAGTTTAGCCCAGGCTGTCCTGCTCCAGGGTCCCTGCTCTTGACCACTACTCTATATCTCAAGGAGGGGTGGAAGAAGAGGACAGGGGAAGTGGGCGAGAAGAAAGGAAGGAGTGGGTAGGAGACGGAGGAATGGAAGGGGTGAAGTGGGGAGTAGAGACAGAAGAGGAAGGGTGACAAAAATAGAGAGAAGAGGGGGAGGAGTGAGTGTACAGACTAGAGAGGATGATTCAAACGGCAAGTACAGTCCTCCCTTTCCCAAACATCTCTGTGCCTGTCCTTCAAGTATTGAAGTATCCTGGGTACAGGATAGCCTCCTATAGCCTGGGCCCTACAAAAGCCTGTACAACCCAGTGGTTAAGAGCATAAACTCCGGAATCAAATTTGACTTAGAATCTCAACTCCATCATTTTGTGGCTGTGTTTCTTGGGGTAAAATCTTTTTAAGCTTCAGTTTCTTCATCTATAATATGGGGATCATTAAAGTACTTGCTTCACAGAGTTAATATAAGGATTTAAAGACAATATTTCAAGCACTTAGTATAGTGCCTGGCACAGAAGAAGTGAACGCTAAATGGTGGCTATCATAACATTAGCTAACTGACTATAATTGCTAGATGACTGAGTTATAAAGTGTAAAATCAGTGGGAAGATCGTGCTCTGTGGAAGAAAGACCATCAAACAGATAAAGGCCAAAGATGGCAGCTCCAGAAAGGGAGAATGAAAAAGAAGAGAGCTGGAGTCATATACTCTCTGGCACTTACACAATTTAATGCAGGAATGCCCAAATCACACAATGCAAAGGAGAAACGATTCCCATAGCCCTATGTAGCTCGCAGAAGGCTCCTTGCCTTCTTTGGAGCCTGTTACCACACCTGTGCCCAAAGAGGGCCACACCAGGGCACTTGCACTGCCAGCCTTCCTTAAGTAGTGACAACCTCATCATTAGGGCTGCGTTTCCCCCCATCTGCTGATGGATTGCATCTTACATAAGATGGAATCCCTTCATCTCAAACCCTCCCAGGCCTCCAGTCTACCTCTGGTTCTAACTTCTCCAGTTAAGCTAGTGACTTCATAGTTAAGAAAGATGTAAATTTCATGCTTCAGAAACATAGGCTTTTATTTTGACAAAGATATAGATTGTGGTGACTGTAAAAGGCTAGTATATTTAATATGTACACTATACGGTATCTTAAAAAGGAGAACTTGGGGGATTTCTTTGTGTTGTATACAATAAGAGAATCATGGTCCCTGCAGATGATTTTTTTGCTGTTGTTTTAACATATACATTCTTGAATTTCTTCTTCATCCTTATTGTCCTTGACATCAGCCACTCTGTCAAATCCTGAAAGCAGGAACATAAAGAATATCACAAACACAAAGAATTACAAATTACAAATTTAACTCATGGCCCTGAAAAAGGAGGCGATTTGCTGGGCCCTGAGGCAAGGAACTATATTCTTTCCTTTCTTTTTCTTACCCACATCTTACCACTTACCTTCATAGACATTACATTGTGATTTCTAGAGCCTTCTTTCTCCCTTAGGGACCATCTAGCTACTCCAAAGGAACAATCTTGTTGTTTAAGCTGGGACCAAGGAGGAACTTTCTATGCCTAAGGATTATAGATGCTGAAACAAAGGGCTGGGAGAGGCTGTTATGTTGTTTAACAACATAAGGGATCCCTGTCTGTCTAGGCTGGGTCCAGCACTAGCGAGAAGTTGATAATTACCTCTGGAGCAAGGACTAACTCCTCATATCTGTGTGTCCCTTCTTACTTTGGAGGTGCAGCCTTTGACTGCTTGTGAGTAAGATTCTGAGACCATTCTTTACTTCTCTCAGACAAGGGTTCCAGGAAGATATGCTTACTCTGAATTCCTAAATTTCCTTCAAAGGAGTTGTTTTCCTCTGGGCAGTCTCCCTCCATCCAAATCCTGGTCAAGCAAGTGTCAAAAGGTCTGATGATGTTAGTCAAGGACATGGATTCTCTCTTTCCATATCTCATCACAGAGGCTTTAAGCTCAGAGACCCACTGGTGATAGACAGGGCAGGTCACACATCGAGTGAAGAACTCCTTAAAGTACTGCAAGGAAAGGAAGGTCCATTTTCTCAGGGATTAGTACTCTCTTCCTCTACTCTACTCCACCAGAACTGACAACAGTCCCTACTCAGCATACTCACTCAGGGCTGGGGGAACAGGGAAGAGTTACTGATGGCAAAGTAGGCCCAGAGAGTTGGTTTGAGATACAGAGGAACTGGAATGTCTTAGACTCAGAAAGCAGGGCTGTAGGGAGATGTGTCAAATTATAAACTGAGCCAGAGTGGGTCCACTGAGAAGGGCTAAATGTTAACATTTTAATGGTATTATGTAGTAGCTGTGCAAAGGTGGAAAGTTAAGGAATCTAGTCCTGACCTACATACAAGAATATCTGGAAGGGCAAAGGGGTAGGTGGAAAGACTTTCTAGGTGGAGAAAAAAGGGTTCAAGGAGTAAAAAGAGACAGAAGCAGACAGAAGAAGAGTAAGGGAGAGATGCAGGCAGCAGAAAGAGTATCACAGGGTCAAACTATAACTTAGGTGTTAGTTGAAGGACAGGTACCTTGAGGGTTTGGCTGTGAGCCTCTGGGGGAATATGCACGAAGACACCCTCTGGCATTTTCTGTAACATTAGCACATGACACTCTAGGAATCGAACAAAGCCGTGTGAACCAAATAGTGAGGCATTGGTTCTTTTCACCAACTGGCGAGCCTTGGAGAAGTGGTGCTCAAACAGGTTCCACTGTGAGTCCTGGGCAAACCTGGAGGGAAAGAATCACTCAGCTTTATCTCCTGCTTACCAACCATGGCTCTTTCATAGAACCATCTTTCTTTAAGGCTGTAAGACCTCCTGGACAATCAGAATTGTGATGCTGGAAAGTGGCCAAGGCTACTAACTCACATGCAAGTAGACTTAAAAGGAGACCAATGATATTCAGCCTTGCTGTGGGTCATCTAGAACTTCAATACAACCCTAAACCTAACCTTTAACGTTTAGGACCAAACCTGTTAACGAGACAAGAAGAACCCTTCTAATAAGATGGGGGGAATGGGAGGTGAATGGTCTTTAGAAGTGGGTTAGAGATGTGGAATAGTCCTGCCTGGAGGGGTAAAAGGCAACTGCTTAAATGACTTCACGGTGTCCTTACATTTCTACCCTTTCTTGTAGACCCTGAGTAAGACTCTGGTACCCCATATTACCACATGGCCAGAGAGGAGTGGATCCCCAGCATGACATTGCTCTGAGAGGTAAGAATGCAGCTGTCCTCATAGCGTTGAATGAAATGCAGACACTCCTCAAAGGGCCGACACAGCAATCCTGTGAACAAAGAAGGTAACCAGGCTAGCATAAGTTGTCCACATAGGAACTAGTATAGAAGGTGTGTGGTACAGGGGAGGAGACAACCCCTGAAAGGCAGACACCCCTGAATCACAACGTGGTTCCTAGACTTTAAGGCCGGGGGCTAGAAGCAGAGGCCTTGCCCGAGGGACAGTTTCATGACTGCCTGTGTTCCAAACCTGGGGCCCCACGTGAAGTCTGAATCTCTCAGGAGTACAGCAGAGCCCTGCACAAGATTTACCTCTTCCATAGAGCAGCAGATCTAAGCAAGCAGAGTAGAAGCAGGCCAGGCCAAGGACATCATGACCCTGGGAAATGAGCGCCCACTGACTCTCCAGCACATGGATACACAGATCAAATCTGCTGAGAGACAGAGCTACTGGGACCAGCGAGGGAGTAGGGAGGATGGTGCAGGAGAGGAGGGGATCTTACACCATACCATCAAAGCAGCCTGACATCCCCCAGATCTCCTCTCCGTACCTCTACAGAGAGCATCTGTGCCTGGGATCAGACCTGTCTCTTAGCAAACAAAGTGGGAAAATGCCTCCGAGACAGTTTCCAGGGTCTTGAGCTACTGCAATTCCCCACTTCCCAGGAGAAAAATGGAATATGTAGCAGCTCAGACTCTGCATTTCCACTCCTAACCCCCCACACTTAAGACAACGCTTCCTGGAGTGACTACAGAAGAGACAGCCTTGGCTATGCAAATGAAATAGCACCTCCCTCTCCGCTCCAAACTTCTCTGGGAGACCATACCCTCCCCTCTCAGGCAACAAATACAAATGAAAGAAAATGATCTTAATACTTCTTCTTTAGAAATGCAGATCTGAAGAGAACTGAGAGAACCAGATTCTGCAGAGCTGGTTTCTTGAGGTGTCTGCATATCTCATGAGCTTGAAAACCTAAGGAGGGTAAAGAGCATTGTGTGAGGTCTGGCTGTGAACCTGGCCTCTCTAAAAGCCATAGGCCCACCAGCCCCAAGCACCATTACCCAGCTTGATGGAGAAGTCAAGGTGGCCGAGGCAGAGCTTGGTGTAGGACAAGGCCTGCACGAGCTGGGCTGTGGCCAACAATCCCTCCCTGGAGAACCAACACAGGCTGCTTTTCCGAATGGCCATCTGCTCACAGTGCAGCCACTTCTCCCTGTCACCCACGTTCTGGGAGAATTGGGAGAGGGCCACGTAGGTAGAGACAACCTGTGGGGCAACAAACACGGGGCAATATATTCCGACTGTGCATTCATGCCACATTTCCATCGTGTCCCCTCCTGCACAAGTGCCCACTCTGGAGCCTTGCTGCTCAGTCAGTGAGGACTCCTGGTGTCCCTGCCCCTCACCTCCGCTCCAGCTATGAAGACACGCCCCTTCTCGCCCTACACTGCTAATTTGATCATTCTCACTGCCTGTTCTTTAAACAAACCACTTTCTGCACCTGCCTCTCTTCTTTTTCTCCAATCCAAGACTTTCCCCTTCAAAACACTGACCAAACCTCCCCTGTGTTTTCTCCAAGGTCTCTGATTCTCGCTCCTTTGAAAATTGCTGCCTAGATCTCTCTTATAACCATGCATATATTTGACATAGTTGATGACTCTCTTCTTGAAACACTGTCTTCACCAGGTGTCCAGGACACCATGCTCTCTTGGTTTTCCTCCTGTCTCTCTGGCAACTTCTCTGTTTCTTTTGTTGGTTTCTCCTATGACCCTGACCTCTTAACATTGGAGCTGTTAACTCAGTCCTTGGATCTTTTCTCATCCCCTTGGTGATCTCACCAGTTTCATGACTTTAAACGCTATTTATACACTGATGACTCCCATATTTCTATTTCCAGCCCCTACCTCTCCTGTGCACCCCACACTTGTATATTCAACTGCCTACTCACATCTCCATCTGGATGTCTAATAGGTATCTCAAATTAACATGTCCAAAACCTGGCTCCCAATCCTTCCCTAAATCTGTTCCTTCTGCAGACCTCCCCATCTCAATGAAGAGCATCTCTATCCCTCTAGAATTCCAGGTTGCAAATCTTGGGATTATCCTTGACTCTTCTCTTTCTCTCACATCCCAGAACTGATCCATGAGTGAATCCTATTGGCTCTCTCTTGACAGAAGACCACTGCTCCCCGCTTCCTCTGCCACCACAATCCAAGCCAACCATCTCTTGCCTGTATTACTGTGATAGCCTCCCTAACTGGTCTTCCTGCTTCCTCTCTTGCTCCTTTCAGTTTATTCTCAATACAGCAGGTAGAATGATCTTACTAAAATATAAATAGATCCACTTATTCCTCTTCTTAGAACCCACCAATGGCTTCCTATCTTTTTTAGAGTAAAAGCCAAAACCCCTAGAGCGGCCTATGAGGCCTGCACCATCTACCATCTACCCCTCCCCAGACTCTCTGACTCATCTCCCCTCTCCTCCGTCCCCTCCAGTCACACTGGCCTTCTCACTGTTCCTCAAATACAGAGGGCATGCCTACTGCATTCACTGTGCCCTCTGCCTGTACACGCTTCTCCCAGATAGCCATGAGGCTTACTTTCTCACCTCCTTCAGTTATTTGCCCCCCTGACCACCTTGTTTAAACCTGCACCTCCCAGCTCCCAGAACCCCATCCCCCTCATTAATCATCATCTAACATACTAGATAGTTCACTTATCTATTATCTGTTTCTCTGGAACCAAATCAGTGCCTGACACATAATAGGTGTTCATCAAGTATTTGTTGAACAAATGGATAAAAAAAAGAGAGACAGATGGACACTACAATTAGGAAGACACATTTCCCTTCCTTCTTTTTTCCTAAGTCAGCAATTCTAATCCTTTTTTAGATTGTGGACTTTGAGAATCTGATGAAAGCTATGACCCCTTCCCTACCTCCCACCAGCCCCCACATGCTCTTTTGAACATGCACACAAAATGCTACATTCAGTTCAGGGAGTGCACAGTTAGCCTCATACCTGGAAACTCATCTATAAGCTGCAAATTAAGAAACACTGCTCACACATGTGATCAGTGGTGTCCCTTAAATCTGGGTTATTGTGGAACCGTGCTAAAATCAGGGACTAGGCAGGGTCTCTCTCCCTGGCATTTGAGGTTTCTGAGTGAGGTCCAGAGGTAAAGCAAGGACTCCCTGGTTTCTGAGTGAGGTCCAGAGGTAAAGCAAGGACTTGCTTACCTGGGCTTCATTTGCAAACTCCTTAGCTGAATTCTTCTGCATAAGAGCAGCCAGGCAGGCAAACCTGCGGCTGCTGGCTGTGGCCTCCAGGTTATAGAGCTGCCAGAGCAGAGAGAGGCAGTGCACCCGCTGCTGCAGGACTGCCAACTTTTTCTTACTGTTTTGAAGCACAGGATGATTAGTATACCCTTACCCTTCACAGTACCCAACCACCCCTCCCCACAGGAAATCCAAGTCTACTCATCATGGGGCCATCTCCAGACCTGCAAACTCAGAAATGTTCCTGGGATCCCACTACTTCTAACTCCAGATGCCTTTTTAATTCATCCCTCTTGACCAGGAAATTTTCAAGAAGTTTTTAAAAAACATTCATTCTTTGAATTGCTATTTTGGTTGAATGAACTTTCTGTGAATTATTATAGCTCAAAAACTAGGTAGCGATTTAATATTATATATATACATATCTCAGAGAAATAATATTAAATTGCTACCTAGATATACATATACACATACATATATATATACACACGTATCTTTATTTGAAAGAGACAGGGTAACACCACACTCCCAAAAACAAAAGAAGTCCTCCGCTACATTCTGCTACATTTAACTGGCTGGGGAAGTAAGGTGGAAGAACTAGAACTGTCTGTTACATGCTTGAAAAGAGGAGTCTTAGGGGGACAGCCCTGTGGCGCAGGAGTTAAGTGCACGCGCTTTGCTTCGGAGGCCCAGGGTTCGCGGGTTTGGATCCCTGGTGCGCGCTGATGCACCACTTGTCAAGCCATGCTGTGGCAGCGTCCCATATAAAGTGGAGGAAGATGGGCATGGATGTTAGCCCAGGGCCAATCTTCCTCAGCAAAAAAAAGAGGAGGACTGGCATCAGATGTTAGCTCAGGGATGGTCTTCCTCACAAAAAAAATAAGAGAGGAGTCTTAGGTCAGTATAGTCAAAACTCCAGGGTGGGTCCTAGTTTAGTTCTCCATGGCCCTAAAGTGGAGCAGGGCAACTTAGCCAGGCTTCTCACTTCTCACTAGGGTTGTTTGGAGGTTGGCTTAGGGAACAGGAACGCCAATATTTTTCCAGGAATGTTTGGAAAAGGACACCAAACCAGGTCCAAGGGAAATTCCTTTTCAGCAGTCGAAGGGCTTGCCTAGCCAATTTTTCGGCCAAGGTGATCTGTCCCATGTTGAAACAGACCTGGAGATGGGAAAATGAGAAACAGTAATGTAAATATGGGAAGAGTACTATGGACAAGGTTCTAGATATAACACACTGGCTCTTTTATTTTGGGATGTGTACTTGGGGTCACTGAGGTGCTAGAGTGGGCCGAGTTGGAGCAGAGACTGGCCACACTAACAAGCATCAGTAGGGACATTAGCAAGTAAAGGAGTGAGAAAATAGGATTATAGAGAAAGTGCCCTCCTTTCCCATCTCCCACACATTTGTCAGTGAGCCGTAGAAGAAGGTTGTGATTTAGAAGTGATACTGCTAGACTGAGGTGGGATTGTCATTTGGGCAGAGACTCAGATGCTTCAGATGGTACAGAAAGCATCCGAAATATCACCAAATTCCATATCTCTCTTCCTAAATAGGCTGCACCACCACAGTGCATGTCGGGGTTGGAGCTGGGGAACTACCTTGAGGTTATCATACCTTTCCATGCTAAGGCTAAACCCTCCAAGAAAGTGATAAAGTCTATGGTGATCCCAAAACAATCTTGGGAAGACTGCACAATAACTTCTTCTTATAAAAGGAAAGAAATAATTATTTAAGTTTTCTCCAAAGACCTCTTGGTTCAAACACAAATAATGCAATACTGTGGACAACCCAAATATTCTCTTTGGCGTTCAAAAGCATTATATGCATTAGGTTTACTTTCCTAACCAGGTTTTTTTATTTTAAAGCTTTCTTCTCACAAAACATCCTCCATGGTTTTATGGAGTAATAATTTATAAATTGATAAATAATTACCCCAACACATTTTGTTCTGCTGGATTTACTAGTAATGAGGCTGGGAGAAGTTGCTGAGCTGTCCTGAGTTATTCATACACAATAAATAAGTTTACTCCTGTATGTCCTTTGAAAATGGAGTGTCATGGCATGCTTTCCCCAGAGTTTCTATTTATTATACAAATCTCATTCCCTGAGGAAATTTGTTATAAATGATATAGAATGATCTACAAGGAATATTATTTATTTTTTTAAAAAGCAAGATGTAGAATGGAGTATCGGGAGCTCCTATTCATATATAAAAAAGGAAGGGGGAGACTATATACATTTACATATGCTGAGCTCCTCTAGTAGAATATATAAAGATACATAACTGTGGGGAGAGGACACTGTGGCTGAGTGATGGGGTGGGGTGGGAGAGACTTTCAACTGTATGTTCTTTTTTACCCCCTAGCTTTATTGAGATATATTTGATACATAGCATTGTATAAGTTTAAGGTGTACAGCATTATTTTTTTAATTGAGATAGAATTGACATACAACTGTATTAGTTTTAGGCGTACAACATAATGATTCAATATGTGTGCATGTTGCAAAATGATCACAATAACTTTAGTTAACATCCGTCACCACACATAGTTACAATTTTTTTCTTTGAGACAAGAACTTTAAAGATCTACTCTCTTAGCAACTTTCAAATATACAATACTGTATTGTTAACTATAGTTACCATGCTGTACATTATATCCCTAGGACTTATTTATCTTATAACTGGAAGTTTGTACCTTTTGATGACCTTCACCCATTTTGCCCACTCCTCACTCTGCTGAAATTAGTTTAAATATGCTCCAATGAGCAAAGGACATGAATAGGCAATTTGCAGAAAAATAAATGACGAATAAACATACAAAAATAATGTACCTTATTAGTTAAGAAATACACATTAAAATACAACATAACTTTCATCTACAGATTAGCAAGTTTAAAAAAGACTGATAATGTCTGATGTTGGTAAGAATGTGAAGAAATGGAAAAAACTCAAATTGATAAAATATCTTTGGTGGACAATTTGGTGATATATTTATTAAGTATAAAATCATTCATATCTTCTGTCTTAGCATTTCCACCTCTGGAAATTTCTCTTACAGAAACACTCTGACAAGGAAAGAAAGAGATATTTACAAAATATTCACCGTAGCAATATTTATAATAACCAAAAATTAGAGACAACCTAAATGCACATGAAAAAGGGAATGATTAAGTGAACTTTGATATATGCATACAATGGAGTACTTGGCAGCTGTAACTGTGATTGGATGTACACCAATATGCATATACGTTCAATCTGTACTATTAAGAACAAAAGTCAGCTGCAAAAAAAGAGAAAGTAAAATATGATTCTATTTTAAGAATAATGGAAAACAATAATGATATGACTATGTGTGTATGGCTAGTGCAATTTGCACCAAATTATTAGCTATGTTGGGGTGGCATGGGATTAGTCGGTGCTCTTTCACTTTCTACATATTATACATTACTATGTTTTGAATTTGTATAACCTTTTATGACATTATCACATCTATAATCACATACAAAGAAACAAAGAGATTTTAAAAGAAATAATAGGGTAACCCTCAAAGAGAAATAACTCAAACTTCAAGGTTACCCCCTGCCCTCACCTCTGACCGAAGATGGCAGAAAGTGGCCTCCTCAAACTGACAGATCTTCACCTTGTGCTTTTTCCAAAACGAGAATGCTGAGCGTTGGCCCAGAAGACTGCTTGCCTTCCTCAGATAAAAGAAGGCCTCCAAACAAGACAAGGGGTGGAGAAACTGGATTAGGATTTGGGTGATGCTAGGGGTGCGATAAGGGCTAAGTCTGGAGTAAGGTTATGATGAGGGTCAAGATTGAATGTGAAGCAGGGTTGGATTTAGAGTTTGAAACAGCAGCTGGACTGCATGTGCAGGAGTCACAGGCAGGGCCGGCAGCGGCTGGTGCTATTGCACTACCGCATTCCCATTCCATGTTTTCTCCCACGTCCCTTTCAGCTCCTCTCTCTCTCCTACTTTCCTCCACTTTTCACTCAAGGTTACTTGATAGTAAGAAATCTCAAACAAATTCCCCAAAGAAAAGGGCTCAGGTTCAGCTCAGGGGCAGAGAGCAGAGCTTGCTCACCATGTAATTATCTGACAGGTCCAAGGCGGCAGCCGCAGCCTCCAGCAGGTAATAAAATGCACAAGTGGTTTCTCCGATGATCAGGCAGTGCTGGGTGAGGGGTGACAGCACCAACTTCAGGATTTCCTCACAGTGACAGGGCTTCGCGGTCAACATGTCTTTCTCAGGGCTGCTCTGAGCCAGCTTCCTGTTCACTTGATCCAGGAACTCTTCCTCAGTTCTTTGTGGAGAGAAGATGAAGAACTGAGAGTAGTCACAAAGTAGCCACTCTTGTCGGGGCATAACCAGTTCTCAAAGCCACTTTTTCTAGGAAGCTTTCCTTTATAATTCATTAACTGTATGTCGATCCTTTTCCTCCATCACTCCATAAATTTTTGAAAGTCAGGGACCTGATCTATAATGGCAAAGCCCTATTAGGTATCCAAGTACCTCACAAAATAGGGAAACAACCACACCGGAAGAGTAAACTAACAACATGTTAAATAAAAATGTAAAAATGATACAAAGCAATAACTAATAATACATTTATCTATTAGAATATTTGAACTTTGTCATAGCACATTTGAATATTACTTTACACAACACCACCATCTTATCCTACAACAATCCTGAGACTCAGGCAGGCAAAAATCACCTCCCTTTTACAGATGAGGAAACTGAGGCTCAGAGATGCTTAAGTGATTTATATATGACCTCACAGCTACTGAGTGGAACCAGAACTAGAGCTCACCTCTCTGACTACTAGTCCAGTGCACTTTCCACAGGCACCATGAGTTCAAAAGAGAGAAGATCTTCTGAGATAGAATGACCGAAAAAAGTGGAAACTGAGGAGGGCTATGAAGGATGGCAAACATTCTGATAAGTAGAAGGATGTGGAGGCCACTTAGTATTTTTAAGATGGAGAATTGTGTGAGCAAAGACACACAGGTGATTGGGGGGCTGATTCATGTCAAATATAGATTTTTGTTTGAAAACTGGAGGAAATCAGGTTGGATAAATGGGATAGGAAACTCTAGAGTGGTTGGTGAACTCAAGGTAGGACATTTAAAATTGATGGGATAGGCATTAGGAAACCAGAAGGTACATGGTTAGGAAAGGTAAATTCATTTTAATGTCACCTTGGGTCAAAAATAATTGAGAAGGCAAATTTATAGCTAAGAAAATCTGCTATGCATACAATGCATTTGAGAACTGCTAAATAAAGTTTTTCTTGACCGCTAAGAAATAATTTCCCTACAAAGAATAAAAATTCCCTTTCCAAATCTCTGTTAACTTGAATTTTAGGCTGAGTATAAGAGTCACTACTCCTGGGTGGTCAGATGCCTTCCCAGTCTGCAGGAGAGGTGAATGCCCCAGTTTAACGGTCATCTGTGTCTTACTTTCTGCCCCTCTCCATGCCCACTCTCAGCATCTCTGTCTACCTGCAGTGTTCACTTGCGAAGGCCTCCTGATTTCTGGATGGTTGACTTCTGGATGGTTTTGTCTGGAACTGAAAACTATCTGTAGGGAGAAAAATATGATTATCTTTAATTATCCATGTTTGTATTAACTGAGGACATTTTAAATTCCTGACTACCATTCTTCTGCAGCTTAGTTCATGACCTAATTGCCTCCCCCATTAAAAAATGGTAAGTTTAGGCTTAATATTAGCTTACACACAAAATTAGAATGGTAGATTGCAAATTCCTTAATAGCAACTATTTGTGATTCAAATAGTAACTCCTTGCATTCTCAAACCACCCAAACCAGTTCCTAATTCTGTTCGCTAAAGAAATGAATAAAGGAAGTGTTCATCTGGTTTGACGGCTACTTCTAATAGTAGAAATCCTTGACTATATCTGGATCAGGTTTATGACACATGAGAGTGAACCACAGAGCCTAAGACCTAGTGAAGCAAATCATGAGGGCACAAGATGCCACAGTCCACTAGAGTCACAGTGGCCAGCAGAGGTTTTCAGCTTTACCTAGTTGGCCTTAAATAGCCTTTCTCCTCCAGATAAGACTCTTCCTCTGCAGCTGCCTTCTCGCACATCAAAAGCAAAGACTGGGAATGACGTGTGGACAGTACCTATCAGGGCTCAGACGCTTGATGGTGGGACTGAAGAGGAGCCTAAGAGAACTGTTACAGGGAGGATTGTGTTAAGCAAAAGGACTAGCTCTCTGATTATTTAATGATCAAAAAAGGTAAGGTAAAGAAAGGTTAAGGTAATTAAGGAAAGTGGAGTTTGGCAGCACTACTGCAATGCACAATTCCCAGGGGCATCACATCACAGCCTGTGTGAATAGCAGCCTCTAGGTTTGTGCAGTTCTGCATGGCCATGAACCGAGGCCCTGGGTCTGGGAAGCCTCCTCAGGGTTCAGTTGTGCTAGGAAGGCCTTGAGCCTCTCTCACATATATTGACCAGACTGTCCAATCTAAAGCTGACATTGATCTCTCAAAGGCAAAAGGCCACAAAGGAAATGTGAATGATAGCGTAATTTCTTCACAATACCAGACCAGGACATTCACTGTTATTTTCCTCTTCACCTTTGGAAAGTACAAAAGTGCAAATGCCTACAGAGTTCATCAGCCAATGACCAATTTCTCCAAGTCACTGGTCCACCTTCATAGAGTTACCAGAATGTTATAGCTAGAGAAGGTATTAGGATCACAGATCAACTCCTTCACTTTAGTCCTTTACTACCAACAATTCCCCCTCTCTCCCATGTCCTTCTCCCCTACCAACACCAACTTCTCTTCTATCAAAGTAGAAATAGACAAGATTTGGTTGGGTCTTGACAGCTGTCTTCAAATATGGAAGAACACACAACGAAAAATGAGTGAAGTCACAAGAAAGTAGATTTCGTCTCGAGGAAAGAAGATTTCTAATAGCTCTTGACAATGAAATGGACTATCTTGTAAGATAAGCTAACTGAAGATGTTAAAACAAAGAGGGTAACTCTTATCTGGGACGCGGTAGTAGGGATACAGGCTTTGGGGAACATCTGTCCACTATTCCAAGCTTCTTCAAGTAGCTAACTCCTACTTATCCTTCAAGTCTCACTTCTGGCATTATCTCCTTCAAGGGAAAATCCTCTCCTACTCATGCCTCAGACTGGGCTAATGCCCCTTCTCTAGCTACGCCAACCCCTATGTATGCTATTTTCATCGCCTTTACCATACCATATCGGAATTCTCTATTATGTCTGCGTCACACAAAAAAACCTGATTATTTCAGGTACTAAGGCTTATTCATTTTGTATTCTTAACACCTAGTTGCAGCATCTGATACACAGAAGGGCTCCATATATATGTACTGAGCCGAATAATTGTAACAATAATAAAAACAATAACTAAAATGTATTGAGCACTAACCATGTACCTAGCACTATTCAAAGCACATTACATATTTTAACTCATTTAATCTTCACAACAACTCTATGAAGTTCGTGTTGTTATTCTCCTCAATTGAGGCTAAGTAACTTGCCCAAGATTGCCAACCAAAGCAAGTATGATCTCTAAAGTTCCTTTTAACTCTGAGATTACATTTTTCTTATTTCTAGTACTTCATGGATAAATGGCTTTCCACTTATTTTTCTCCCTTACTCTGATTTCACCTTTGGATGAAGAGCTCCAAGTACAAGAAGAAAGAGAGGTGTTGCCCACATGTCCTCCCTCTGCCCCCTGGATTTACCTTGGGGAGAAGGCAGCTGCAATTTGTCTGTGATCACTTGTGTTAGTACTGAGCCGGTATCTTTGTAACTACAGAACTGGGAGGTCCTGCTGGACGTCTTAGTAGGACAGATGGCGAAACGGTGGAAGGAGACAAAGTCCCCCCCACGACAGCTCCCGCAGCGGCAGGCCAAATCTTGGAGAAAGCAGGCACATTCAAGGTGCAGGGCTATCTGTTGTGCTTTGGGCCACAGTTCCCAAGCTGCTTCCCGTAATAGAGGCACTCCAAACTCTAGCAACTCAGTCTGAGGTAGGGAGAGTTCCTCTTGTAGCCTGAGAGGAAAGCCAGCATCTGAAATACAGGAAAATCTAAGTGAAAGTCTCCCTTAAAGTCCTTTTATGTTACCATGTAGCAAACTCCCAAGCACACGCTGCTAGTTTTTAAGAAAACTTTATACATTTACAATTCCTATTTGGTATCACTACCTCCTTTGTATAAAGAATTTTACACCAATATGAGTGATATTGACCATATCTAGCACAAAGTACAATAGGGAAGAAATGATCAGTGGTATAGAATTACACTGGAAAGATTTCTTGGTTGTTTCTCCTTAATTGAACTTTTTTTTTTTTTTTTTTTGAGGAAGGTCAGCCCTGAGCTAACATCCATGCCAATCCTCCTCTTTTTGCTGAGGCAGACCGGCCCTGAGTTAACATCTATTGCCAATCCTCCTCCTTTTTTTTCCCCTTTTTCTGCCCAAAGCCCCAGTAGGTAGTTGTATGTCATAGTTGCACATCCTTCTAGTTGCTGTATGTGGGACACGGCCTCAGCATGGCCGGAGAAGCGGTGCCTCGGTGCGCACCCGGTATCCGAACCCGGGCCGCCAGTAGCGGAGCGCGTGCACTTAACCGCTAAGCCATGGGGCCGGCCCTCAGTCCCTTTCTTAAATACTTTTATAACTTATATGGCCTTTCATAATCTAGCTTTGGCCTTTCATTTAGACCAAGGACTGCTGACTGAGCTATTCATTTTAGCTTATGAGTGAACATATCCTTTTTCCTTTCCTGTGGACAATGCTGAACTTGGGTTCACTTGCTAGCTGTTTCCCAGGATCCTGATAAAATCAGAATGTCAGCTGAATTACCAGGTAACACTGCTTATGCTAAGAATGATCCCTGATTGGAATTTGAATTTGGACTAGGAAAACTGAATGAACTATAAATACCCGATGGTAAGCCACAGCTTTGGGCTTCCTTGGGTGTTGTAATACTTGTAACAGGTTACGTCCCTTGTAGGGCCTGGAACCTATGTCTACAGGATTGTTACATGAGATACCAGTTCCTACTTGGGAGATGGGGCTTTTAAGTACCCATCCATCATGGTCTCATTCCACCACACCTAAGCTATTCCTTGAGGCTCTAGAGAATAGTAGTGAAAACTGCTGGTTACCTGCTGTTGCTCTGCTAGCATGCTGTGTTTCGTGACCCTTATGCTTCTAAGTCAGTAAAGCCAATAGCAAGTGTGGCCTATCGTGGATGCAGGAGTATGAACTCTCTAGATAAACCTAAAACCTCCACAGTGAATAGCTTATAATAGCCAACATTCATGAAATATTTATTATGTACCATGATTTATTTCATTTAATCCTCAACTAACTCCACAGAGGTAAGGGCTATCATTATCCTCATTTAAGTAATGAGAAGATTAAGGCTTAGATAAGTTTATGTAAGGTTTCAGAGCCAGTAAGTAGAGGAGCCAATGGTACCCAGGCTTTTCTGACTCCAGAGAGCTGGCTCTTAACTACCATGGTGTTCTGTACTGTTATTTCATATGCATGTCTTATATTCTCAACAAGATCATACTTTGACTTGAAGATATTCTTATTCATCATAATATCCCTCAAGAGGGCTTTAATATAGTACCCTGCCCACCAAACACTTGAATAGACATTAAAAAAAATTCCTCATCTCTAAAAAGAAAAACATCTCCCACCTAATTATGCCTACCCAATTCTGACAGCTTCTTTATTCTTTATCCCATCAGTCAGTATAAACTTACTTTGTACTCTTTTTATTAAACTCCTGCTATGTGCATAACACTGTCTCTTCACTAGCATCATGGATTGTCTTAAATTTCAGCAACAATATCTCCCTTCCTTACTGTCTCCTCCAGCACAGGAATATGTACAAAGGGAAATTCAGGACATAACTAGAAAACTTTTCTAGGTCATCAGTCAGCCTTAAAGAGAACATTACTCAAATAACATTACAAGTCTTTAAAGGGCTCTTGGGGCAGTGCCAGAACTTATTTCTGGAAGGCATATTTCTTTTTTAGAAGAAAATGAAGCTACCATGATAATGAAAGACCTATACTCAATCACCCACCAAATTACTAAGTGTAATGACATCTGTAATTGATTCACTTGAGGTCTTTAAGGGACCTGCCTTTTAACAACGGTGGGAGAAGCACTGTATCCAAGTTCACATCATCCTTGACTGTGCAGACATAAAGTTCCTGGTCTTCTTCAGAGCTGGCAGGAGAAATACTGTACATTGTGGACTTCATGGCATTAGCTGCAGGGAAAGAAGACTATGACTGAGGAAAACACCACGCTCAGTGACTGTAATTTTAAAGGCACAAAAATACCAAAGAATTTACTCAAGAAACTAAAAGGATGAAGATGAATGGAGCATATCACGTTTAAAGTGGTTTACCCCACCCATCCTGCCTGTTCTCTAGTTTTCTCTTAGAAACTAACAACAGTTGCTGTACCATATGGTATCTAACATGCTCACTCTTCCTGTTTACCGTCCAACAGCCCTCCCTTCTATTATATCAGAGCTCTAGGATGCCTTTCTGGATTCACACATACTTCTACCTCTTTCCCCCCTCCCACTCTCCTCCCTTCTCCAAATCCTCAAGTCATCCTTTTCATCAGTAATGTGGAATTCTTTATTGGACTCTCATATTTATAAATCCTCTCTAGTGGACTCTTATGTTTATAAATCCTATTTTTCTATCCCTACCTCCTGGGCTGCTCAAAAAGGAACTATGGTAGATTGATTGACTCAGTTTAAGTTATCTGAGGCAGGTATTTAGTGGTTTCACCATAGTTGCGCACTATCTGCATAGTGTGCTTAGCCAGGAAAGCCTAATCACGCCTGTAACGTCAGCAGGGAACAGGCACATGCCTCATGAGGGCCAGGTGATGCCATGTTGAAGCATGAACTTCAGCAGCTGGACCAGGGTAAAACCCTGGGAAGCTAAGCTTACCTGAGAGGGTCTCCCACTTGCTGTTCTCCTCCTCCTCCTTTTGTAGGTCATGAAAGAGCAATATATCCTTAGAGAGAAGGTCCTGGCAAAGGACCTCACAGTACAGGGGGTTTCCAAAGCACCTGCGGAGAAGGTAGCTGTAGAGAGGTAAGTAGGGGATTGCTGACTAAAGAAGCTGACTTGAAGAGAGCCAAGCATAAGGGTATTTCATACTGAGAAATAGTTCTTCTTTTGTTAAAATCAGCTCTTGTTGACATACACTAACAGAGGGAAGCAGCAGCACAGAAATGTAGAAAAAAATTTTTCTGATTGGCTTTGAAATGTATTTTGGTAGTAACTTTTCTTTCTTAACTATTTTGCTTCTATTGATGTTAAAAGAAACTAATGTCCCCTTGCTAAAGGGCCTGGCAGAAACTGGCCTAACCACATATAATTGACACATTAAGTCCTAACTGTCCTGTGAAAACCTGGGTGGATAGCTCAGGGAGGTAGCCCCTTACTGGTGTACTAGGAGACTACCCTTAAATCTAGCCTTGGACCTCATCATGGTTACTAATGCCATTCTCTCCCCCAACTTGGTAAGTGAGACCTGAGCCTTCTCACTTATACTATGGCACTGGCTCCTCCCTTAATTAAGTGCCCAGCTAGTCCTAGCCACTCACATCTGCAGCTCTTGGGGGATGCTCACCACACCCAGTTCCCAACATGCCATTCTCAACAGTGAGGTCGCTGCCAACTTCGAAATGGGCACAAGGACAGCCTGAGGGCTCTGTAGGAAGTGCTGGGCCCAGCCACACAGGGTGAAGGTAGGGGTCAGTGTCATCACCATGATGATGGGAATGCTGGAGAGAAATGTTCCTAAAAACTCCCAGGAAGGTGCATCCATATACTGGGCCTCATCAATGAGGAAGATCAGTGGTGTTTCCCTCACTGCCTAGAAATAAGAGCAAAGAAACAATGACAACCTCTGATAAGAAATGAAGTCACCTGATTTTCAAATCTACCATGAATTTCCCATGAACAATTTAAATAAACTGTCAACACAGGCTGGGGTTTTCAGAGTAAAATGTTTCCTAAGTCCAAGTAATATTTTACTTTATAAATACAAATACAGCCTGTACATCTAACTCCTAAAGAAATGTACCAAGTTTCTCTGGACAGGAAAATACTCTAACTGAAAAATGAAATTAGCATCAAAATGTTCTCCAAATCAAACTTGAAGCTTTCAAATATTTCATTTTGGCAAAAGCTTCAAACTGTGTGGGAATTCATAATACTTTAAACAGGTGATTTCCAAACAGGCTGCACATCAGAATCACTTAGAAGTACTTGCTAAAACTACCAATTACCAGGACCCACTCAAGTAGACTTTAAAAAAATGTATTCACTTTCATTCACATTCCCCACTTCCATTCCACTCCCCACTGCTGCAGGTAACCATTCTAACGCATTTATCATTTAACCTTTTGTTTGTATTGTGTTCTTACAAAACGTGCATTGTTGTTTTGTCAAGTAAATTGTTTTTATGTAAATGATACTGTATTACAGATCTCATTATTTCTCTCTTTATTCAGGACTAACTTCTGTATTATAATTCATAGTGTTCATCCATGAGTTCATGCCAACACCTCCCTAGCCTCCACAAACACACACTGCAATGAACATATTCCCTGGGATATACAGCCAGCAGTGGAACTGCTGGGTCTAGAGGACGCATCTTATTAAAATTGACTAGCTATTTCTAGATTGCTTTCCAGAATGGCTACATCAGTTTCTGCTCACACAGATTTTTGATTCCATAATTCTGAGTAGGGTCTGAGTATCTGTATTTTTAATAAATACTAGGTAAAATAGCTATCTACCCTCATTTAGAGACTGCTGTTTTAAATTAAGCTACTAAAATTTCATTAAAAAACAGGATCAGGAAAGGGCAAAGACCTTTTCTTATATGCTGTGCTGTAGGATGGATTCAAGGTTAAAGATAGATACAAACAATGAAGATATCAACAACAGGCAGGCCAAGAAATGCCTAAGTCAAGGTGTGATGTTGATAGATTAAAAAGAGCATAAACCATCTCCACATATTAAGAGTTAATGGTATGTAGCAAAAATACCCACCTTCTGAAGCACTTGAAAGATACATGCTTTAACCTTCTTTTGTCTGGCCAGGTCATCCATGTGCGAAACTCTGAAGGATAAGGGAAACTGGCCAGGAAAATTATTCATATATTAACATTCAAAATGACAATCTAATAAAAATACACAGGTTCTCCAAAGGAAATAGCAAATGATTCTATTTTGAGTGAGAATGGGTTTCTACAGGATTGGGCATAAGGTTATAAATGCCAATCCAACATCAATATGTAGTTCACAGGGTGAGACTGAAAGTCCATTGACTGTTCGAGATAGCTCCTTTCCATACTAGACTCCGGCAAACTCTCAAAGGGTCATGACCAAGGAGTAAAGTGACAGGTTGGATTTGGCATTGTCACTTTGGACAGCTCCAGTACCCTGGTTATGCCAAGTATACCAGGATCAATGTGCGCCTGAGACTTGTAAGAAAGAATTGCAATGGATATCTCCTAACATTGTTTCCTGCGCTAGGCTGAAGCACATGACCTACCATGGTCCTGAGAGCCAAAGTGAGGTTACTCCTCAACCACTTTGGCAAAGGCCAGAGCTCCAGGCAAGGCCTGTCTTAAGACAGGGCTGTGCTGAGGGACTAGACAGACTTTCCTTTTCTCTATTTTCCATTAAATGCAATGCTCTGCAGGCTGGGTAGATTAGAAGTAATGGAGGATGAATAAGTGGAATTGTGGACCAGGGAATTCTTAGCCTGCTCACTATTGGGTACCATATAAACCCTAGACCACTGGAAGCTTCTGAGATAGATTCAGACAGTGCTGATAGATTCAGCACTTTCACTTTTACAATGCAAGCCCTTATATATTATCTCCTTTAAAATTCATGAAAAAACCAAAAAAAAGTACTATGATTGTCATTTCACAGGTGAAAAAACTAAGGCTCAGAGAGGCTAACTGATTTGTGCCCCAACATACAACTAGCAAGTGTCAAAGTCAGTCCTAGAATCCATTCTCCTCAAAAAGGAGAAAGCCTGGGTTTTGGTGTCAAAGGGATTTCAAATTTCAATCCTGCCATTGCTAACTATGTGTTCTTAGGCTATATATATGGCCTAAGGGTATTAGATTAGAAGACAATTCAAGGTTCAACTATCTGCCAAAAATACCATCAGCAATTCAATTCAGAAACCCACTGCCTTCATTACCTTCACAAAGAAGAGGTCATTAAAAAGGCAGTGAAGCCGTTCCTCCACCATCTCACGGAGCTGTTTGTGTAGGCACTCTTGCCGGTAATAGGCTGGGCATATATCAATCTCAAAGAAGATGGCCATGAGGGTCTGGATGGCATAGAAGCACTGCGTGGAATCTGCTTCCTTCAGCTTCAATGGCAACACCCTGGTGAATGTTACTGTGGTCACTGGGAGTGACCCACAGAGAGGTTACTCACTCTACCAGCCAAAGGATACTGAATCTAATGATACAAGAGTCTCACCAACAAGGGAAAGGAGCCCCAAGAGAAGTAGACTCCTAAGTCAGAAAGCAAGAGGCTTTACCTGTGCCCTTCCTTCTGGGCCAGGAAGTTTATTTCAGCCAACAGCTGACTTTTTCCATAGCCTTTTCCACCTTTATACAGAACTGCTTGTCCCTTCTTCTCGTGCAAACATCCCTGCTGGGCTATTTGGAAGGCTTCCAGTTCTTTCTCCCGGTCTGTAGAGAGGCAGAGAGCATCTAATACTCCTGTGTTTTTTAGCAGACACTATATATTTGAATTAATTTGCAAAGGTAAGTCTCAGAATGGCTTTTTCCCCCAGACCCTTGGCAGAATCCCATTCTTTGATGAGGTTTTGCATCTCTTTCCAGAAAATCTACTCTGGGCTATACAGAAATGTGTGCTGGGCTTGGGGGTTTGCTCCACAGCCTAAGTAATAACATTCAGAACAATTAGGCACCACATGGACATGGGGGCTATTATATCTTAGCTTTTTGTAAAAATTTTCATAATAACCATTTAGTCTTCAAAGTCTGTCACTGCTATGTGAAGATAATGGACTAATAGATAGAGATAAAATAAATATAAAGATAGGGAATATATAGTGTGGGTGGCAATAGTCTTGATGCTATCTTCACTATCTAAGGATGCGGAATTTCTCTCTGAAGACGATCCACAACAAGCTGGTCAGATCTCAATAGCTGAACTCTGATGGACAAAGATTCTTACTAAATGGTGGTACTTCTCAGGCAAAGTGATAGGACTCCACCTGAAATTTGAACATTCAACATGGAAAAGAAATGGCAAGTCCTCCTCAAAATTAATATAAATTCACTAAGAAGGCTGCTCTCTATTTTTTAACAGAAGCTTAGAAGCATTTAGTCTTGCAATTTTTATCATACTTAACCATCTACAGCTGAAAAAAATATGATTTAAGGTAGAAAAGAAAACTCACCTAACAAAGGGTGATTCTTATTTCTCTCTCTGGCCAAATGTCTCTTCCCAAACATTCTGGGGAAAAAACCAAAGAGAATGTGTCTATTAAAAATAGATTGAGATAGATGGATAATACGTCTCTAAATAGACAGAGGACAAATTATCCTCATAAGCAAGTATTTTCAGACAACTGAAGAGGTCCAGAGTTCTGTATAAAAGAGTTGTAAAAAAACTAAAAATTTTGGGGAGGTGGAAGGAGAGAAGTATTATTGATTGTTCCGGGCCCAGGGAAGTAAATAAATTTTGAAATACACAAAGAAAAAGAACATCTACATTAGTGACCTATTGCTATTGTCTTCCTCTTGGATAGCAACAAGTTTACTGAGGAACTAGCTAAGAGCTAAATATCTCAGACACTAAACCCTCCTCTTATGTCTCTTATTACATCTTTCTTTGTAATACATACAATTAAACAATGATTATTCCTATGCCCTGATTCTGTAAAAGAAATGGGAATAACTATCATACAATGACACTCACATACATCTTCTATGGCCAAGGTACTCATACATCTTCCCTGGGTTGGAGATGTTTTTCATCATTTTCTCTGGGAGTTTCTTGAAGTTGTAAGCAGGTATCATGGATCTAAGATATGTTACCTCATCACAGGACACCAAACCTGGATAAGCAGTTATCATTCTGGCCACAAGGCTCACTTTTGGGCCAACAACTGTGTCAGGGAGACAGTAAACAAAAGGATGGAAAATTTCTGTACCACCTCTTCCACCTTCACCCACTAAGTCACAGAGCTAACAGTTCAATGTCCTATTCTACCTGTATATTCGTGTCTTGCTATTGCCCCAACCATGCCACAGAATACTGGTCCACTGGTGACACTGATGGAAACAAGCCTGGGGATCAGAAAAGCAACAATGAGTAAATACACAGTCAGAAGCCTCCAAGTCAGGCACTAGATCTGTCACTCCTTAGATCCAGAAGTCTAGTTGTAGAGCTCAGAATGGAAAAGGCCAGAGGTTGCTGTCAATCTACATCACATGATGGGTACGATGGGTACAAAGTACTGAAAATTAGGGAGACAGCTAAAAGGAACAAAGTGGTCCTTCTACTCTAGGAGTTTTAGTTTGGGAGTTATTATTAGTAAAAAGATTAAAAATACCTTATATCTGTCAGATACTTTATATATGCTTGTTGAAGTATTGTCAAACTGATTACCTCATCTGATCCTTTGAGGGATAATTAACAACAAACATGTGAGGTATGTAGGGCAAATATTTTAACCCCATTTGACAAAAGAAACTGGAGGAGTTAATTAACTTTCCCAGAGTTATACAGCAAAAGTCAATAGTAGAGTCAGAATGAGAATCCTGGCCTCCTGACTCCTAGACCAATGTTATTTCCACTGTACCACGCTGCTTCAGATAAAATTCAAAAATGAAAAGTAGATCAACACATGTCAATACACGGTTAACAGACCAAATAATGCTAGAACGTCAGAGTAAAGGAATAATCAGAATGTCAGGCTGCTGATGGAAGGCTTCTTGAAGCAAATTAGTGTTTGGAATACATTTTTTTAAATGAGTAATATGTTTCTCATTCATTCATGCATGTACACATTCATTCATTTAACAAGCATTGAGAAGTATGTACAGCACCTGGCACTGGGCTAGATGCTTAAAATACCCTTCCCTGAAGACGTTCAGTCTGAGGAGGAGGGTGGTAGAGTTTGAACAAGGTTAAGAGGCATATTTATAAGTCAGCAAGATAAATACTACATATTAGAGATCAGTATAGCAAATGAACAGAACAAACAGAACAAATGCATTAACTCATACTGGAGAGCAGAAAGAATATTCATAAAGGAGAAGACATTTGATCGGTCCTTGAAAGTTGAAGTACTGCCAAAGTGGGGCAACAGTACTCGGTCCAGTGGGAAAAGGCACAGACTTTGAGAAGCCTAGTGTGTGTGTGCAAAACTAATTAGTTCAAAATGGCTACAGCATAGAAGGTGTTTGGAGTAGGGAGAAGTGAAAGGAGAAGTGGTCTTACCTAGCTCAGGGATGGAAAAGTATTGGAAATATGAATTATTTAAAAAGAGGGCATATACTGTTCCAGGTGAGGCAAAGGTTCAAAGGTGGCAACGAATAATTCATCCATAACAGAGAATAAGCAGCTTTACTTGACTGATGGAAAATTTCATGTGACAGGTAACAAGATATGTGCTTGGAGAAAGAGGGTGCAATAATGCATAATTAGTTTCAAGTTAAATTTACAAATAAACAATTTTCAGTTGTTCATATAGAGCATGAAAAGTGGCAACAATCCTAACATTGTTTGTCTCCTGGGCCATCAAAATTCTCCTGCCTTCCTTTAAGGACAGGATTGAGGACTCACCATTATTCAATGGGCCCACTGCCCAGGATGAATAAGAGAGACATCCAAGACAAGAACCAGGCAGCTGGTACTGCTGCCACACCAAGAACAAGACTAGAAATCTTCTAATGTTTCACGATGCTTCCTTTGCCTAAAATGGCCTTTCTTGCTTTCTCCACCTACTGAACTCCTTTCCTTCTCAACCTGGCAGAATATATGGTCAAGAATTCTCTGGCACCTCTGGGGTGAATTAACTATTTCTTCCCATAGCACTTTGAAGTTGTCAGAAGGTAGCAAAAATTTTATTCCTGCACTTAAATTTCACTGTATTAAAGTTAGCTGTTTACTTAGCTGAGGAGGTAGTCTAGTACAGTGCCTGGCTCATAGCTGTGTTCAATAAAGGCTGAATGAGTGTACTTATGCATGTGAGAAACTCAGCTATTAACAAGACTATGATAATGAAACAAATAATACTTTTCTCACTTGACTGTTTCTTAATTCTTTCTATTGTACTTTATAATTCCCCCTTGCTCTTCCTGGCAATCCACGTTCCTTCTTCTTTTAAACTTTTTCTTCACTGACGAAGAATATATTCTTTATTCAATATATACAAATAAACATAAAGTATTTCTGGTCCTGAAAAATTATAATGATGAGATTCTGAGACTGCACTCCCTGAGTCTCAACAATATCCTGGAAAAATATTCACAAACCAGAAAAGCCTGATCAACTGGACTCAGAGAATCATTTTTCTTCTGTAAATGAGCTGAAAACTGAAGGTATTTCTTAGATTAGAAAGAGGAACTTAGAAGATGACCCAAGGTGAAGAGGGTCATTGAAAAAGGAGGCATGGGATGTGGTTTTGGGTCTGGGTGAGGCTGATGTGATGCAGACAGGCATGATGACACACAGGCACCTCTGAGACTATGTCTCTACACATGAATAACAGGTGAAGAAGGCAAACTTCAGCATCTGGTTAGTGCAGCATTTCCCAAAATATGCTCCCCAGAACATTTATTCTTCTGGATGTTTATAGGTATTTCTGGAGGAAAGTATTTTGAACACGTAAATTCGGGAAATGTTGAGTAAAACAAAATATAACAATTTTCTTTACTGTAAGACTACTCAGAACCTTTGATGTTAATGTATATTGTGGACTTCTAAGAAGGAAATATAGTTTGCATCACTTCCCAAATAAATTTGGCCAGGAAAATCTTTTTTTCATGATTTGTTAGGGACTAATGCTCTACCACACATACTTTGGGAAATTACTGAATTAGTAATTATCTTTAAGGGAAAAAACACTGACCTGGAAGCTAGCTTTCAGGCTCTGACACTGTCAAGCTATTTGGCTTATCAACATAACCTCTGGATCTATAGTCTCCTTAAATTAAGGAGGTGAGATTAAATGAACTCGAAGATCCTATCTAGCCCTTAACATCTACTATATTCTAGACTAAATAAGACTGAAAGGACCAACTTATGGCCTGAGAGTCACAGAAGGTATCATTAACGGCACTGCAAGATAGCCTCTAAAGGCCAAAGAAATGACTACCTCAGTCAGGAGTAAGAGCAAAGGGCAGGACCTTTGAAAGCCACAAGTCAATGCAAAATTCAAGAGAACAAGATACCAGCGCTGGAAGGGATGGCCCAGCACGCCATACTAGAGAAAAGACTGGGAAATAGGCAGTACGAGTATCTGCAGATCCCGCCAAGCCTGAGAGAAGTGCCAACAAATATCTGCCTTGGGCTACGAGTCTGAGTATCTATGAAGCAACTGTAGCACCTTTCTTATCTGTAAAAGAAGGGGTTGGATCAGATCATCTCTAAATTCCTTTTTAGTACTAATATTCTATGAGTATGTCTCTACAATGGTATCGTATTAGTAATGTATATTATCCTTTTTGGGGAATATCTGCATTTTATAAGAGGCAGCTGTGGGGTAATGAAAACAACACAAGATTTGAGGACAGAAGATCTGGGTTTCATTACCAGCTCTGCTATATGCTAGTAAATTCTCTTCTGTGGCTTTAATTTCCTCATGTGTAAAAGAGGGATAAAAATATTTACACTGGTAGCATATACTAGAGTATTCTATAAATGTTAAGCACTATATAAATGTGTGATATGATTTTTATTCATGTTGAGTAAGTATGCCAAGAAAACAAATCTTTGACAACATTAACATTAGAAATAACTGTTTTTCCAATCTATTCATCATTCATAGGTCCCTTCCTATCTAGGTAATTGTCCCACAACTTCTCTTCCCACGCCTTTCCTCCCTGTAGACAGGCAGACTTTGTTCTGCATTCCCTCCACATATAGATACATTATTTATATTATATCAATTTACACATTTGCTTGTTCCTTTGCACTGTTCTTGAATCTTGCCATGTGTATTCTGTTCCTCCCCCTCTCCTACTCCATTGGATGGAAACTTATCTTGATTTTCTCTGGGTACCTAATACATAGTTCTGTACCTAGTGACTTCTTAATAGATCTTGTTTTCCGACTTCCCTTAGCATGTTTCCTCCCCTGTAGGCAGATTCTGGACGCCCTCAACCCCTGCTATGTGTTACTGCCTCCTACCCTGCCTGAAGAGCCCCCTGGGGCCTGAGAAGCTCCTTTCTGCCCCACCTTCCTCCTCACTTGGTGTCAGCAAGATTCTCCCAGCAGAAGCTGAAGATGCTGGAGGAGCTCTCTAGGGCATGTGCACACTCATCTGGCTTCTTATCCCCAGGAAGGCCAAAAACACAGAGAAACATGCAGCCCTGGGACAGATGACAAAGAAAGAAAAGAGAAGTTTACCTGGGGAAGGAATATGGCTTGCCTCAACTGAACCAACTCCCCTGAATGAAGCCAGACCCTTTCTTGACTGGTCTTCTGTTAGGAATGTAGGATTCTACAAGAGTCATGAAATGGACACTCTGGGCAACATCAACATGGAGATTAAAAAAAAAAAGAAATAAAATCTTAATTTAACTAACTATTCAAAGAACTGAAATTTAAAACACAAGAAAAAGTAATGTGGAGAACTTTTCAAAAATTCAATTTATAGTGTATACCTTGAACTAATTCTATCTACCCACATTTTCTTCACCTATGACACTAAGCATTATGATACTGCTCTTTTTCAAGCTTCTCAATTATCTAAGATCTGATTATATTTACTTTACAAATAGAGCCAGAAAAATATTCTTTATGCTTTCACGAGGATTTTTCAGCAAGAATTGAATCAAAAAGGATATGGAGAATAACCCTCAGTTACCCTGAAAATTAAATTAACTAGAACATCCAATTCCTTAACTACTATTAGTTGAAGTTTTAATGTAATATAGCTTGTTACAAAATAAGTAGCAGGAAACCTGACTTATGCCTGTGTTATGTGAGAGATACACTGGTCATACAAGACTATTATTCCTCACTCACCTTTAATGCTGATGGGTCAAGCTCCCTTGTACTTACTTTCTCAAACATAAAGATCCGGCTCAGCTCGCCCCCTCCTTTCTCTATGACTGTGGAGATATATAAAGCAGCCTCCTGGATAAGATGACACAAATGCAACATCCATGCTGTCTTGTGGAACTCTAGGCTGACCAAAACCATAGTCACGGTACGGAATTCAGATATATACTCCATAGGTTGGCCTTCATCAATCTACAAAGACACAGTGAGTTACCCTGCCTATATCTTCAACTCCCAGGATCATATTTAGGCATTTTAATTCTATATTCCATGGTGAGTATGAGAAAATAACTTACAGATATCAAAAACTTAGAATTCAAGTTCAAGAGGTATAGAAGATATACAAACCAATACACTTAGAATTAAAACAGTTTGACTTTAAATCTAATTCACTGATGAAATTTGCCAGGCTTTTAAATTTTCTAAGAGTTAGTTAATTCAATTAGTCCTTATATCACTTACTAAGGGATTCACATAGATTCATACATACACAATCAATCAACACATATTTACCAAGCATACACTCTAGACCCTGTTTACAGTATACTACGTTCTCGAGGGACAAACTGAAACACAAATATGGCATCTACTTTCTAGGACTGAGAAATCTAAACTTCTAAGACATGTCATCACAGTAGTTGGTGCAGATAGGGAAATCTGCTGGTATTACAATGGGGAAGAGAAGATGAACTGGATCAATACAGAAACTATAAATGTACATCTGTTTACACAAACATGCAGTCTACACAATGACTCAAGAACTAGGAAATAACCTTCTTCAAAAGGTTTTTCATGATGTGCTTCCGCAAGGTTTGTTCAAGTGCAGAGTCTGGATCCAAGTCCAGGGCAGCTCTTAGAGTGTCTGAGAAAAGGAGAACAAACAAAATGTCTCCAGCCATGTGGAAAATTAACCTTTAAACTTTCAGGCTTGGGTAGAAAAGACAAAGTAACTTACCAGCACTTGTCCGGTAATGTGGCAGATAATCAAGGCACTTGTCAAAATGCTCATCAAAATCAAATGGGTCTATGATCCGCATGTCTCTTAACTACAGAAAGGAAACTGCTCAATTCTGTGCCCACCCTCCAACTGGATTAGCTTCCTTAACAGAGAGGCTGAGGATGTCATCTCCCTTGTTTATCATTTATCTTTCCAGCCTTACTGTTCTGCCTTGTCTATAGTCCTGGGAGAATATCCCCTGCCTCCCTCCAAAATAGAGTTCCAATCATTGTTGGTTTGGTCAGGTAATACATGAATACCACCAGAGCACTGCCCTGTGTAGTAGGAAGGCCTTTTCAGGACCTTCAATGGATGGAACCAGGCTCCTACCTTTACAGCTTCATCCTCCCTCATGATTTCCACTTCAAACATGTACTGCTCACAGAGCTTCCAGCAGTTCCAGGACAAGACAATCTCATTTGCTTGAGCCAAACGGTGAGCTAACTGGACATCGTCTACATCCCGCCCAATCACCAAGAGGTACTGTCGCTGCTCATCTCCAACAATAAACTGGGAAATCCGACCTGCAGACAAACCTATCCAGAAAAAAGAAGACAAGTGATGAACAGCCCAATTCAGTTGGAAAACTATACAAAGGGTGGGGCCTGGAATCCTCACACTGCTCTATGCACCATACCAGTCTTCTTATTGCCCACAGTTGCAGAAGTATTGAGCACACATTCAAAAACAATACCTTGCCCCAGATTTCCTTCTGTCTTAAACACAGACATTCAAACAAGCCTGGGTTGTATGGAAGAAGAAACAAGAGATTCTAGGCCTCCAAGAATCTTGTCTCTAAATTGCTCTTCTACTGGACAGCTAGGTCCTAATGGCAGAGACCAAGTGGTTATGCTCAGAAACTGCTGCCACAGTGATCACACCACACCTCCTCACATGTAACCAGTGCTGAGTGAGCAGACCATCAGTATTTTACCAGACAGGTGCTTTGCCGTACACTTTTATTCTACCTCCTGTTTTTCTTGCCCTGGGGGATTTCTTACTGCTAATATAGATGAAAAATTGGTTTGCTTGCCAGGAGAAAAGGGACTATAACCAAGAGAAGTCTGCTCTTAGCTAAGTTACCCAATCCAAGCTAAAAATAAGGGAAAAACAGTTTTAAAAGAATGGCAGAGACATATACTTTTGGCCAAGATGGAATAACAGGTAGTGAATTTACCATAATGCCTGGAACAACTACAGAACTGGAAAAAAACATACAAAACAACAGTTTTCAAGATATTGGACATCAGGTAATGAAGAATAGTGAGGCCTGAGAGATGAGAAACAAACAAAGTGAACCCTCTGATACCCCAGCTCACTGCCTATAGAGTTTCCAGAACACATCTCAGGGAGGGAAAAGCCAGGGCAGTCCAGGGGATTCCCTGAGTTGAGGAGACAGAGCTAGGAGTCTGAGGAGGCTAAGGTGGCTAGAGTTCATAGGGCACTGTGAGTACTGGAAAGGAGAGAAGTATACAGAGAGAGAACTCCAGAGATCTGTACTGGGTCCCCCTCAAGTCTTTAGCTGAGTACTGATAGGTACACCAATGTGAGGAAACTACCTGAGGCCAGGGGAAGAACCACCTGAAAGGATTAGAAAGAACAATCCCCAAAATCACACAGGGCTGGGAATAGTTCCTGTTCCCACTAGCCAGAGTGTCAAACTTAATAATTCATATGACATTAGATACAGTACTCAGAAGGGGTTTACCTCAGGAGTGAGGTACAACTAGCCCCAGACTAATCACTGCTCTGGTCCCATCCAAAAAAGTTTAAAAGCAAAACCTGAAAGGATCAAGCTAACCACATCCCAGAACTAACCTCAGGAATATTTATAGAGGGGCCGGCCCCGTGGCTTAGCAGTTAGGTGCACGTGCTCCGCTACTGGCGGCCCGGGTTCGGATCCCGGGTGCGCACAGACACACCGCTTCTCCAGCCATGCTGAGGCCGCGTCCCACATACAGCAACTAGAAGGATGTGCAACTATGACATACAACTATCTACTGGGGCTTTGGGGGGAAAAAAAAATGGAGGAGGATTGGCAATAGATGTTAGCTCAGAGCTGGTCTTCCTCAGCAAAAAGAGGAGGATTAGTATGGATGTTAGCTCAGGGCTGATCTTCCTCACACACACACACAAAAAACAATATTTATAGAAATATAGAAAAATCCAGCACCCAACAAGGTAAAATTCACAATGTCCAGAACCCAAAAATTACCAGGCATGCAAAGGAAAAGGAAAATATGATCCACAATGAGGAGAAAAATCAATCAAGCCCAATCCAGAATAACACAGATGACAGAGTTAGTAGACAAGGACATTAAAAGAGGTATAACTGTATTCCCCGTATTCCAAAACCTAGAGGAAAGACTAAACAAGCAGACACATGGAAGATAAAAAATAAAAGACCCAAATCAAATTTCTAAGGATGAAAACTACAAGGCCTGAGGTGAAAAATACACTAGATAAGATCAAAGGCAAATTAGACATTGCAAAAGAAAAGGTTTGTAAACTTGAAAACATAGCGATAGAAACTATCCCAAATGAAACACAGGGAGAAAAATGATAGAAAAACAATGAACACAGCATCAGTGAGTTTTGGGACAATTTCAAGCAGCCTAATATGTGTATAATTGGACAGAGGAAGAGGGGGACAGAAAAAAATTATTTGAAGAAATAATGGCAGAACATTTTCTAAATTTGATAAAAACTAAAAATCTATAGATCCAAGAAGCTCAATAAGCCCCAAGCACAAGAAAAATAAACTGTACCAAGGCATATCATAATCAGATTACCTAAAACCAGTGATAAAGAAAAAATCTTAAAAGTAGCCAGAGGGGAAAAAAAAAGACACTATATACAAAGAAACAAAGATAAAGATGAAAGCAGACTTCCTGTTGCAAACATTGCAAGCTAGAAGACAGCAGAACAGCTTTAATATGAGTGATTAAAAATCCCTGTCAACCTGGAATCCTATACCCAGTGAAAATACCTTCCAAAAACAGAGGTGAAATAAAGATTTTTTCAGACACACAAAAGCTGAACTAACACATCTCCAGCAAACCCACACTATGAGAAATGTTAAAGGAAGTTCTTCCAACAGACAATAAGTGTTAACAAGGACGTGGAGAAATTGCAACCCTCATACATTGCTGATGGGAATGTAAACTGGTACAACCACTTTGTAAAAAATATTAGTAATTTCTTAAAAAGTTAAACATACATCTACCATAGGGCCCAGCCCTTCCACTCCTAGGTATTTACTCAAGAGAAGTGAATTCATATGTCCATACAAAGACTTGTACATAGATGTTCATAGCAGCTCTACTTGTAACAGCCAAAACTGACAACAAGCCAATTGTCCATCAAAAAGTGAACGGATAAACAAATTTTAGTATAGCCATACCACAGAATACTACTCAGTAATAAAAAAGCATGAACTATTGATACACGCTACAACATGGATGAATCTCAAAATAATTATGCTGAATTAAAGTAGCCAAAAAGTACATACTGTATGATTCCACTTATATAACATTCTTGTAAAATGAAAAATAGTCTCTAATGACAGAAAGGAGATCAGTGTTTGCTCGGGGATGGGGAGGGGTTTGGTGGGAGGGAGGGTTTATTAAGGGGTACAAGGAAACTTTTGTGAGTGATGGATATGTTCATTACCTTGATTGTGGTGATGGTTTCCAAAGTGTATAAATATGTCTATGTACAGCAACAATTAGGAATTTTATACCTCAGTAAGACAAAAATAAAAACAACAAAAAAGGATGGTGGGACAGGAGAGATGCCACATAAGACAGAACAGGATTCTTTACAACTGCTTCTCAAAATATAAATGAATAGCTGGAGCCAACTTTTGCCCTTAGTTCAGAAACCACTTGAGGTTTCTGGACTCCTGTGAAGGAGCTTTATGTATACAGTAGTCCCTCCTTATCCATGGTTTCACTTTCTGCAGTTTCAGTTACCAGTGGTCAGGTCAATCACAGTCTGAAAATATTAAATAAGAAAATTCCAGAAACAAACAATTCATAAGTTTTAAATTGCAAGACATTCTGAGTTGTGTAATGAAATTTCACGCCCTCTCACTGTGTCCCACCCAGGACGTGAGTCATCCCTTTGTCCAGCGTATCCATGCTGTATATGCTACCTGCCCATTAGTCACTTAGTAGCTGTCTCCATTATCAGATCGGCTGTTGCGGTATCACAGTGCTTGTGTTCAAGTAATCCTTATTTTACTTAATAATACCCCCAAAGCCAACTTGATTATTAGTTATTGCTGTTAATCTCCTACTATGCCTAATTAATAAATTAAAATTTATCATAGGTGTGTATGCATAAGAAAAAACATAGTATATATAGAGTTCAGTACTATCCATGGTTTCAGGCATCCACTGGGGGTCTTGGAACATGTTCCTCGAGGATAAGGAGGGACTACTGTAAAGCTTCTCTTCCAATCCTGACTCTGCCATTGGTGAAATTCTGGCCCATGTGCAACTTTTAAATTTTTATTGTATTGTATTTTTGATTATGTAATACAATGACAAAGTTCAAAAACCAAACGATATAAAAAATATACATTAAAAAGTCTTGCTTCCATCTATATACCCATCTACACTATTTTCCCCTAATAGGTAACTTTTTTTAGTTTTTTAAATATTTTTCCATTGTTTCTTTATATACATATAAACAAATAAGAAAAATTCTTATTTTCCCTCCTTACATAAAAGGTAGCATACTAAACATAATGCTTTGCATCTTACTTTTTCTCAACCATATTTTGGAGATATTACTATATCAGAACATCTTCTTCTTTTAAAGTTGTAGAGATATATTATTAAAGTTTAGTAGACATATTATTATTTATTTAACCAGTCTCCTATAAATGGATTGTTTTCAATCTTTTATTACAAACCATATTGCAATCAATAATCTTGTACATATGACACTTCATATATACTCAGGTATATACCTATACAATAAATTTCCAGAAGTAGGATTCCTGGGATGAAGAATAAATGCAATCCATCTATCAATCAAGCAATCTATCACAATCTTGATAGAGATTACCAAATCACCCTCCATAGATGTTGTACCACTGTTGACTCCCACCAGCACTGTATGAGAAAGCTTATTCCTCACAGCCTCACCAAGGGTGTGTTTTGCATCTGAATTTTTGCCTATCTATAGGTGAGAAATGATCTCAATGTACAATTGGCATTTTCCTTATTATGAAGGTGACCATCTATTCATGTTAAAAGAGATGTATTTCTTTGTCTATGTACTATTTATTCATGTCCTTTGCCTATTTTCTCTTAGAATATTAGTCTTTTCTTGATTTCTAGGTGCTCTTTCTATATTAGAAAAATTCATCCTTTGTCTACATGATATGAGTTGCAAATATTTTTTCCCAGTTTGTCATTTATCTTTTTTATAGTGTTTTTTTCTTTCTCAATCGAATCACTTTTAGTAGCTACTACCTATCTTTAGCTGCAGGTCCTGGCCTTCTCTGGTATGGTAGATCCCAAATTTCTCCTGTATCTCCAGACTACATTTTGCCACCAGAGTAATGATGTCACTCAGTTGATTCTGTTCCACTGTCCAGAGTGCCAGGAGTACATTCCCTGCAGAGACACAAGATAGGCTAACAGAAGTCAAATACTTGACTCACTTGGCCCAGGGCAAAGCCCCTAAGGATGCAGAAGACATCACGCAAAGTGTCAGGCAAAGTTTCTTGGCCCTAAACATTATTCTAGGTTCAAATATGGCCACAGATCTCAAAATCATTTGGCATATAAAAAAAGGACTAGGTAGGAGCTAAAATGTTCCTAAGGTTTAAGGATATTTTTGGTAATCTTCCTTCCACCAGTATACTAAGAGAAGGGGAGGAGTACTAGCAAGGAGGTTCACAAAATGTAGGTTCACACTCAAATCTAATTTTATGGCTTGTTTGATTAAATTTACATAAAAAGATAGGTTAACTCTGTGGCATATAGCTGTTAATGATCCTAAGAGTCCTCCAGACAGGAGACTCTTGACTCCTTCCTATCTTACACTTAGCTTCTGCTGTTAATGATCAAGTATCTCATTAGTTTTTTCATGAATGCTTTATAAGCACTTATTTTCCTGTCATTAATCTAAACAAAATGTAAAGCACATGTGAGTTTACCATGGGCAAGGCTTTTCCATTAGACTGGGAGATCCTCTGAGGCAGAGACTCTGTCTTCCTCATCTTTGTTTCCCTAGGGCCCAGTACATATTAAATAATCAAACAATCCTGAATAAACAATATGCCAAACTCCACCTAATATAGTCTTCCTCAGTAACAGTCCTTTAAATGTTCAATATTATTCAAAATACCTGTGATATTTAGGATATCCCCTCCAAAACAGAGCACATCTGAAATCAAATAAGGAAAAGAGAAGAAAATGAGTTGAAATCAGATATATACGAGATCATGGCAGAATGATTTATGATCAAAAGAATGGCCTACTGAGTTTTTCCTCATATCTTTTCTGGTCTATTTGTTCACTCCAAGGCTCAGGCTTCTTCTTCCTTCCTGCTAGCTTCTCCCCAAATCTGTCTGTACCTATACCCGTCTTCTCTAAAATGAAAGAAGTACTCCTGTTCTCTTCAAAGCCATCCCCCTATTTGTACTCTGGATCCTAGCCCCTCTCATCCTCTCAAGAACTTCACTCCCTCCCTTAGCTTCTCTCTATTGGATCATTCCAATCAATATCTTGAAAAACAACACACAACAAAATTAACCTACCTATTCCTGACACTACCTTCTTCGCTATTAGTTCCATTTCACTGCCACATTCACAGCAAAAAAATCCTCAAAAGAGTTGGCTATATACAACTTTCTCCTCATATCCTATTGATACATTGAATTTTTTCTTTACCATTCTCTTCTCAGCTTACTCCAATCTGACTTTCATCTCCACCACTTCACTAACATTATCAAGATCATCAACAGCATTCATCTCACTAAATTCAGTATTTTTCTGACTTTATTGTACTTGACACCTTTCATTTTCAACCCACCTAGCAGTGGCCCTCTTCTAGAGACACTACTTCCCCTTTGGCTTCAGGAAAACCACAATATCCTACCTCACTGGCCGCTTTACAGTCTCTTTTGTAAGTTCTTTTTCCCTAATCATAATCCTCTCCTGGAGTTCCTTAAGCCTCAATCTTACGCTCTTTCTCTTTCACCCTCCCCACATGAACTCAATTACTTCTTAACTCTAAGTACCATCTTTATGCCATCAACTCACATTTTTATATCTCTAACAGAGATCTAGTCTCTGAGCTCCAGGCTCAATCATAGTTATTATCATTTCTCCATTTGAATGACTTATTGACATCTCAAACTCAATACAATATATTGATTCTATTTTGATAGATTTTGTTTCTTGATTTTCTTTCTCAAAGCCCAGTCTTTCTCATGTCAGTGACACCACCAATTCACTTACAAAAGCCCAAAAACTGAGAGTCCCTTTCCTCACCACTTTCCATTGAAATCCAAAACATCAGCAAATCCTATCTGTTGAACCTGAAAAACATTTCAAATCAATTCATCTCCATACAGCTCTACTGCAGTACCTCTACACCAATGGTTTCAACCTTGACTGCACATTGGAATGGCCTGTAAAACTTTTAAAAATCCTTATTCCTGGGCCTACCCCAAGATATTCTATTTAATTGGTCTAGGGTGAGGTCTAGACAGCAGGATTTTTAAAAGCTCCCCAAGTGGCTGTCTAATGTGCAGCCAAGGTTGGTAACCGCTACCCTAGACCAAATTTTCATCATCTCTCCACAATTGCTCCAACTGCCTCTTCCAGTTTCCATTCTTACCCTACACCAGCTCCCTGTAATCCAATCTCCATGAGGCAGCCCAAGTGAGCTCTAAAAAACGTAAATCAGATCACATCTGCCAGACTTTTCAAAAGTTTCCATTTGTACAAAAATATATAATCCAAACTCCTTGCTACAGCCTACATAGCTTGATGCTCTACCTCCAACCTCATCTCAAGCCACTCTCCCCCTGCTAGTTATGCTCTAGCCACACTGGCCTTCTCAGTTCCTAGAACACGTCAAGCTTTCTTTCATCTCAGAACCTTTGTATTTGGCATTCTTCTGCCTGAAATGCTTTACCCCTAGCTCTTCACAAGATGTTCCTCTCATCCTTTATTTTTCAGCTTAAACATCTTAGAGGAGCCTCCTACGACCATCCTATCCAATACATAAACTCCTTTACCCTATAATTCTTTTTTTACCACTACATTCTATTTATTTCCTTTATAGAATATATAATCTATAATTATCTTGTTTACTTATCCGTTTCTCCCACTAAAATGGAAACTCCATGAGGGAAGGTACTATGTCTTATTTTCCCCTGTATTTCTAGTACCCAGCAGTTCCTGGTGTTATAATACCTACATAATACATAATTTCTATTTCCCCCTTTCATCTAAACTTGATGAGAAGAATTATACTTGTCCCTCAGGGGTAAAGGGTGGGTCAAAAAATCAAGTTCCTAAAGGAGATGCCACAAAGTAATTATTCTGGCGAATCTCAGAATGATGGACACAACTGTATGGGGCACTGCCAGGAAAGGAAGGGAATATTACATAAGTACTAAAGGGTATAGGGCCAGAGTAATTTTTTTTTTTTCGCTGAGGAAGATTTGCTGTGAGCTAACATCCATTGCCAATCTTTCTCTTTTTGTATGTGAGCCACCGTCACAGCATGGCCACTGACAGATGAGTGGTGTAGGTCTGCGGCCAGGAACCACACCCGGGCCGCCGAAGTTGAGTGCGTCGAACTTAACCACTAGGCCACCGGGGCTGGTCCAGGGCCAGAGTAATTTCTGTTGGCAGGCCTAACTAGACTGAAAGCTCCTCAAGAGTAGGTTTTTGCACCCACTGCACCTATTACAGTGCACGTCACAGAGTGGGTACTCAAAACATGTTTACTGCACAAATAAGGAGTTTTTTCCCCCAGATTAGGCAAATATCCAAAAGCTAATATATGGCAGAAAATAAATAAGAACACATTCCCAACTCACAGAATCAAAATGCAATAACAGAATGGAAGGGTGCTTTGTAAATTACATCTGCTATACACATACGAGGCACATGACATTACTGTTAGAAGAGACAACCTGAGGAATGCTTTATTTTAAAATAAAATACAAACATGCAAAGCAAAAATTAAAATTAGCTTTTTTTCCCCTTTCTGAACATTGAGTCAACGGGATGGGAGACTGGGTAGAATGGCAGATACAGGCAAAGATCTAGCTTGTCAGTGGCAACCTGAAGAAATAAAAGATGAGTAACACTAAAGGAATGACCCTTTAGTATACTCGTTACAAGCACCCCAGGCCCCCGTTTCAGGAGCCCCGCACCACACCTCCTAGCTCCACTACAATGGTCACTCACGCTCCACGATGTCACTAATGTAATAACTGAAGATGTGGGCCAGTTTGTCCATGTCTCGTTCCGACTTGCAGGTCAGGCTGAACCTGTCCATTAATGCTGTAAACCCTGACCAACAAAGCAAAAATTACTATGTTAGCTGCAAATCCTAAACTTTTAGGTCCTATTCCCTCCACACAACAGGCCAGTGTAAAGGAAGCAGATCTCTTTGAGATGAGTAACTTCATTATCCTTTAACATAGTATTACACTAGTCCCCCCATTATCCACGGTTTTTTCTTTCCTCGGTTTCAGTTACCCACCTTTAACTGCAGTTCAAAAATATTAAGTGGAAAATTCCAGAAATAAACACTTCATGTTTTAAATCGGGCACCATTCTGAGCAAAGTGATGAAATCTCCTGCCTTCCGGCTCCATCCCACCCAGGGATGGACGCGGATCATCCTTTGTCCATTCTATTCCAGCTCTATAGGCCACCTGCCTGTTAGCTGCTTCCTAGCCATCTCAGTTATCAGAGTGACTATTGTGGTGCTGCAGTGCTTATGTTCAAGTAACCCTTATTTTACTTAATAACGGCCCCAAAGCGCAAGAGTAGTGACGCTGGCGATTCAGATATGCAAAGAGAAGCCATCAAGTGCTTCCAGTCAAGTGAAAAGGGTAAAGTTCTGGACTTGAGGAAAGAAAAAACAATCGTATGCTGAGGTTAAGATCTACGTTAACTGTTATTACAGTATATTGTTATAATTGTCCTATTGTTGTTGTTGTTAATCTCTTACTGGGCCTAATTTATAAATTAAACTTGATCATAGGCATGTAGGTATAGGAAGAAACATAGGATGTATAGGCCGGTACTATCAGCGGGTTCAGGCATCCACTGGGGGTCTTGGCAGCATCTCCCTCCGCTAAGGGGGCACCACGGTAGGTAGAAAGTACTCAGGGCCAGGCTGGTTGCCGCTGCCTCTGGGAATCCAGAGGGCCACCCTCTCCATGTTTCTAAGAGCTGCCAATGGTGAAGATTCACCCACAGGCGCCCTTTCCATCTGAAGCCAGCCACCCCCTTCCCACCAAACCCTCTTAAGGCTCCCTGGCCAAGGGAAACTGTAGGATTACGAGGGGAACGGATTAAAGCCCTGTGGAGAACTCCTATGGTGAGCTCCTGGAGGACAGGCACTTCGTGTCACTCATCTTCATATCCATGACACACAAACTGTTAAATGAACGTCTCTCAAGGTAGTTGCTAGATCTCTAACTCCTAGAACAATGGCGGCCAATAATTATAGACCTAAACAGTGAATTAATTGAGCCAATAAAACAACTGGCAGAACGCCTATGGGAAAATGCTCGGGATTGGGAGGAAACTTGCGTTCAAAGCCTGCCGTGTGGCCCCGGAGATGTCCTTCCCCCGTTCTGAGTGTCACTTTCATCATTTCTGAAGCGGACTCAAGGGCTAAACCAGATCACGCCAAAAGGCGGCCTCCGGCTCTGAAAACGACGCTCCGAGCCTCCCGCGGAGGCGGCGGCGGGCAGTTACACGGCGCCTTGGCTCGCCCGGGGTCAGACCCGTAAGCGCCCGGCCTCTCGGAGCTGAGGCCCAACGGCCGCCCTCAGGCAGGCCCGAGTGCGACGCGCCTCCCCTCACCCGTCACGTGGACGCCAAGGAGGACGCCCTGGGCCGTGACGAGCTCTGGGTCCGATCCCTGGGGCTTCCTGAAGACCAGCAGGTCGGGAAGCAGCGCCGCCAAGCGGGCCTCTATGGGCCACAGAGACGGCGCCGCCACCCTCTCGCCAGTCGCCATGGCGGCGGGGGGGAGGGGTACCCCGCCGCGCTATCGGAAGCAGGGCTGCGTGCGTAGCAGCCAATCCGCATCGTCGGCCCTCGAGGGTCCCCCCTAGCAACCAATCAGTGCTGGCCTCCTTGGGGCAGCGCCAATAGAAAGCGGCCGCGGGCACCGCCCACCCGCTTCCCATCGCCTTCGCCCTTGCTTCCGGCGGGGAGGGGTGAAAGGCGGGACAGGGTAGCAAGTTCAAAGGAGCAAAGCACACTTTAATCTCCTTGAAACGTGGAGGTGAAGATGCTTCTCTGATAAAACAGATCAACCGAGATAAATATGAACAGGGTGGTCTTTTCCTCATATCACCGGAGTAAAAACTTGGGTCATCTCTGAACTTCTACGGACAAGTTCCATTGGCATCTGACTTAAGCAAACTCAGGATGATTTTTAAATTTAACACCGTTAGATTCAAGCTATGTAAGTCAGCCCTTTTCCTTAATCGTTAGGGGGTTTCTTCTGTTCCTATTGTCTCCCACGGCAGGTTTATTGGGTTCCTCGTGGGCGTGCTTCCCGGGGCTGCTTTTCTCTTAGCTCCTGGTTCCCTGACTTTTTGTGTGATAATGGCACATTTGAGGTTGCCAGTCTATCGCTCAGATTTGTGGAGCACACAAAGCAGTAACAGGATGAGCATGTTGTGGATTTTTAACAATCACAGAAGTATCTTTGTTTCTCTGCAGAAATAAAAACAAAATCTAAAAATTACATCTTTACTATCTTTAGTTCTACAATACCTAATAAATTAATGCTGTTTAGAGGGCTATTTTACTCATGAAATTACTTCATAGCATTTTGATTAACTCTTGTAGCACTAAGACGAAATATATGATCACCCCGCAGGTGACAGAAAATATTTCCTCAGCAGGGTGGGAGGGCCAAAAAGGAATAAAGAGATCAAGGGGAGAGGTACAGCTAAGATGCCTGGGCACTACAAGTGTGACTGACACTGTCCACAGAGCTCACGTCTGTCCACAGAGATCACAATTTCAACATCATAAACACAACCTAGAACCCAGGGGATGTAGATACCTCAAAATTCACATCACTTTTTAGTATTTTTATAAATTTATTTTAAAAAATAACAATTGCAATGACATCAATGATCGATCACCTGTACTCCCCCTACTGCTGGGGGAACAAAACCTATATAGTTGAGTCCCAAAGGAAAATCAAAACATTATTATCAGGCACCCAATAGCCAGAAAATGCTCTGTTGGTCCAGTGGTATAAGACACTGACATGTTCAATGTACCAGTGCAATTAAAATATATACATTTACAATTATCCTGCAAAAAAAATAAAAGCACTCAAGTGAAATGATGCATTAAAGCCATCATTCACTCATCCATTCACTCTTTCTGCATCTATGAAGTCATCACTACAGTCACAACGATAAATGAATAAAAAAACTTCTAGTAAAAATAAAGAAAAAAATCCAAACCTCAACCCCCCACTTTGTGGATTATTATGGTGTGCTAAAATGACAATAAAAAGGCCATGAGCTATCTGAAATGCAATGACAAAATGACAACTGAAGCATACCATTTCAAACAAAACAAAACTCAAACTGATAAAAAAAAATCTGCAACAATATGAGGTTGGTATTACTATGTACAAACTTACAGACACAAATAAATAGCATTTTAGAGCTGTTGTTGGCTTAAGTACTAGAAATTAGGTCTGAGGAATTTCTTTCTGAACTCTGCATCTTAAAAGACTTCTAAACAAAACAAGGCATATAAATTCCTCATTGTTTTTAGTAACCTATCATCTGAAAAAGTTGGGGCTTACTGAACAAGGTTAATATCTGAAACTCATGCCAAGAGCCAGAGGTTTCTAGTGAGCCTACCGAAGAATCAGCCCCTCCTGACATCTGGAAGCCAGGACAGATGCCTACATTCCAGAGACTAGGGAGATACTTCACTTCCTGATTTCTTTGCATAGCTCTGTACCTCTGTCTCTAACATTACAATGATTTCCCTTTGTGATGTTTTCTTTTAGAAGGTTTAATTCCTTTTCCCTCTTAATACAATTAGAATGAAATCAAAGAAAGAGCCAATCTTTACTCTTGGTACTTAAATCAAACCTAAATGTTCTTCAGAAGAATTAGGTTTTCTGTCTTTGTTTACAGAGAAGGCAGCAACTCCTCTGATATATCATCTTAGTTCTTTCCGGGTTCACCATCTAGAAAAGAAACAGACTTCTGAGGCACAACCCATTCTGGGAACTGTGGCCCAGTTCCTGACCCTGCAGGTATCTCTATTTCCAGTCCGTAGTTTATCCCCAGAATGTGGATGCAACGTGAAAACCTTTCTGCACAAGGACTATGGAGAAAAGGGGAAACAAATGGAAACTGGCACCAAAGAATCAGCTGCCACGAGAAGAATGAGAATGTTCACTCCCTGGGGCCAGCACAAAGCGCTGCAGGAGTGAAGCCAACATCCTCCTCAGCTTCTAGAAGGTAACTTGGAATATGTCCAGAATAGCTTGATTGAACAGTGCTTTCCAGAAATTGTCAAGGACCAAATCTCAGACTTCCCCCTTTCCATGCTTGTTAAGTTATAGTATAAATGTAAATTATTTTCTTCTTCTTAATGATCCATCCCAGGCATCCATCCACTGGAGAATCATGCTACACGACAACACATGGGTATATGTACTACTCTCTCTCTTCTTCTCCTAGATTGAAACACATATGAAGCCTCCTTTCCCCAAATGCTGTCATAAAGCCTATGACTGAAGATCTCTAGTTTGGCTTTCTGTTTAGGAGTTACTACAAATATCCTCAGCACTTCAGCATAGAATTTGTTGTATAGTTTTGTTCTCTACTTAGGAAAGGCAGTTTCAAGGTCCAATACCCTCTAAGTTGTCTTAAAAGTAGCCACAGCAAGAACTATGGTCCAGATGACCTGTCAACAGATGGACAAGCAGACCACAATGTGTCAAGCTAAAAAAAAAAAAAAAACGTTCAGCAATTTAAATTTTTAGTGCTTGAGTCTTTTATCATTCTTAAATCATAACCCAGGATTAGCTTTTTCTTGGCTGAAGTCCAAAAATACTAACCTATCATCTGGGTACACAGAGATTCTTATCATTACCACAGATTAGATGAATGTATCTCAGAGAATTTATTGTTTCCATATTATGAGATGGAACTTCCTTGCCTGGAAGCTGTCACTGAATACAAAGCATCCATTCAGTTAGTCAGGCTGAGATCTCCCATCAGAGGGCTGGATGCTGTTTAGATTCCATGGGAAGAAGTGGGCTGTGGCTTCCCTGATTGCAGTTTAGGTTGAGCAGGTTGTTCTCTCCTGCTGAGATGGCTGGCTGGCTTCACCAGTCAACATAAGTGCTATGTGTGGTACTGCTGGGCTGGCATGGTTCCCTTCCATCATCCTAATCCATGAAATGTCACTGTCATCAACAGTCTGAAATAGGTCCTGACTGAAAGGATGAGACAAAGGCCTGCAACTTCAATTTGCCAGACACTGCTGCAATTATAATACTGAGCCACTTATTAAAAACTTAAGTGGTTTCTGTCCTGTAGAAAAGGGCAGAATGTGATCGTCAGTGTCCCATGGGAAGAGTTGATCAATTTCCTGGAACAGTGGGAAACAGTGGTGAGGAACATGATCTTGATCAGCTCCATCACATGGCCTGGGGTTAGGACACTCGGATGATCTGTGTCATTGCTTCTTCATCTGCTTGGTTTGGATCCTAGAGACAAAGCATAATAATGATTAACATCCTTTGTAAAAGCAACAGGGAACTCGTGGCTCTCACTACTTATCACCAAGGGAATATACACAACTTAGCTAAGTAAACCAAAGGCCTGTAATGCATCAAAGTCCGCATACATGGATTGAAATGCAGCTCCATTAGGAAACAAGAGACAATAAACCTTATTCTTAAAAGGATTGCAAGTTTGGCCTGGCACTCCATTACTGAACACTCCAGAGCTAATAGTGTATCTCTTTCCTAAGAACCTGTGCTGTGCTCTACCCTTAAGGTTTAAGGGTCCTGAAGTGGCTAAGAAAAAGACCCAGAGAACTATGTCATGCTGTATTTTTGTGTCATTATTTTCCGATCGTATTTAAATACTGAGCACTCAACAGTGCTGGAAAGGACACTGGAATTTATTTACTTTAATGCACTCATTTTGGAGCTAAATCTGAAGTCCAGATGGGTAAAGTGATTTGCCTGGATTAGAGTAAAAAAAGTTAGTCAGGAGCCTAGCAAGGACTAACTCCTAAATCTCTTGGCTCCCCTGCTGCCTCTCACTTAAAATGTGCTGTGTTAAGATAAGGATCAGTCCTTGGAAACTTTGTGCAACACTCCACAATAACCTCCTTCAGTTCCTCCACACCAAGACTCTGAAGCCTCAACTGGCATTATCCAAAAAAAAAAGCTACATGATTTCTGGAGGTGGCAGGACCGGAGCTGGGTCTTAATCAGTGAACAAAGACAATAACTAGCATTTACTGAGTTCTCACCAGGCACTAGGTACTGTGCTAAGTAGGTACCTCTTGTGTCTTACTGCATGAAATCCCCACAACATTCTTGTGCAGTATCAACAGCACCTCACTTTACAGGTGAAGAAATTGAGGGTAAAAGAGGCTAAGTAACTTGACTGAGGTCCTATTGTTAGCACCCAGAAATAGGAATTCTTGGCACAATACCCATGGATGGTATTCCACATCTATACACTGCATGAATGAATGATGAGAAAGGAAGGGCTCTCAGACTACAGAGGAGGAGGAATTAGTGCTCACGTGTGGGGACACTGAGGAATCCTACTCTGACTATTGAGAGGGGTGATGAGGCAAAGTTGCTTAGATAGTAAGAGATGATGAACTAGCATGCCTCTTTGAGCAGGAGACTGACATGATTAAAAAGCATTATCTTATAAAGACTGATTTGGCAATAGTGCAGGTGAGATGTGATGGTCATACAGAATAAAGTATGAGTAAATGGGAGGGATCCATTAATTCTACAAACATTTACTGAGTGCTTGTTCTGGACTAGGCATTATGCTAAATCCAATATATACAATGGAGAACAAAATAATCCTTTACCGTCTACACAGCTTATAGTCTACTGAAGAAGACAACTACTGCATAATTACACAAAACAATTCGATTATTATTACACTCTAAAGAAAAGGAAGATGTGACAAAATAATGGGGTAGAAGAGACCTACTCTGAATACGGCCCCTCAGATTTAAACCAAAACCTAAAAGTTAAGAAGGGGATAGCTATGCAAAAAGATGGAGTGAAAAGCTTTGCAGATTGGCTATTTTAAAGACAAAGGTTCTATGACAGGAGATAGACCAATGAACAGTATAACAAGAGCATAAAGAACAAGGAGCAGGAGGAAATAAAACCAGAGGGAGGCAGGAGCTAGAACATGCAGAGCCTTCTTGGCCACGCTAAACATTTTGGATTTCAGTCTAAGCGCAAATGAGAAGGGGGTGTGGGACGTGGGTGGGGTGGAAGGGTAAGTTTAAGCAGGATGGTGATATGCTACGATATACATTTTAAAAAAATCACACTAAGATGTGGAGAATGGACAAGAGGGGCAGAAGAATCAAACAAGGGGGACCAGTAGGCAGCTGTTATATTAAGTGAAGCAAAGGAAGAGAGGATTAGGGCTGGCCCTGTGGCTTAACGGTTAAGTGCGCGTGCTCCACTACTGG